ATCAGGCTCAAAATAAAGACAATACAATCCAATAAAAATACATTTCTCATATCTGTTGCACCGTTGCTTGAAGCCTGCAAAAAAATTGTTTGTATCAAGTTTTACCCTCCTCGCTGGAGGTAGGATGTATATCACTTGCAGGCCTTACCATTGGAGTATGCTTTTTCTTTTCATCAGTATTGCTTTTGCACCGGTTACACTGAAAAAGAAGATGGGGGGTGTCCAAGTAAAGGGAAAAACAAAGAAAAGGAGGTTTTCATCAGTGAAAAGTGTGGAATTTGAATTCAAAAAAGAAAAAAAGTTTGAAACAATCTGTTTGTGATTTACTTGTATGTTTATGAAAATTGAAAGAATTTGGAACTGAAACAGTTTTATTTCTTTGTAAGTTAATGTTCTGAATAAAGAAATACAAATGATTATAAATAATTTAAAGTGAAAAAGAGAAATTTGAGCAGTACCTGAAGGCAGAACTGATCTAGATAAATCTAAGTGTCAAGGCTTGATAACAATGATAAAGGAAATGGTCTCGGATAAGTTATTCAGATAATGATTTTAGTTGACTGAATTAAACAATCAGAAGATCCATGTATTGTTAGTCTTAAGTGTAGAATTTATCATTTCTCTTTTATCCTTTTAAAAGTAAAGAAAAGACTTTACTTTAATTGGTAAGATAATATTTATTCTTTGATTCAATAACTGAGTATTACTAACTGTTTGATTGGTCTAACATAAGACCATCAAGTTTAAAATAAGGGACTGGGAACAACGATGAAACTGATGCGATGCATGCATAGGTATCGCATCGTATCGGGCCTTTATCGCATCGCATCGCAAGAGCGATGCGGGGCCCCGCATCGCATCGCTTGCATCGGATTCTTCGATACAGTGTATCAGTATCGCATCGGATTCTTCGATACAGTGTATCAGTATCGCATCGGCAAAGCGATGCGATGCGATGCACCATAATTTGGTGGCATCGGTTTGCATCGCTTTCCGATACGATGCTGATGCAATGCATCGCTTTTTTGATGCAATGCATCGCTTTTTCGATGCAATGCATCGCTTTTTCGATGCGATACCAATACATGGCTATTTATCGCATCGCATCGCATCGTTTCACCGTTGCTGGGAAAAACGACTCCCTTTTTTTTGCCAACAACTCCCAACAACCGTCAGCAGACGTCCATTGGGAGTCGTCTTCTAAAGTGTGGGCGGATTCTGGGAGTCGTCTGCCCTATTTCATTTTCATTTTTTTTATTTTTTATTTTTATTTTTTTTTTGGGAGTCAACTCCCCAAGCCACTCCTCATGTATGAGGGGGTTTGGGAGTCGCTCCCACTTGACCGGAAGGAACCCCTTCCGGTCAGTGAGGAAGCTAAACCCTCATTGACCGGAAGGGATCCCTTCCGGTCGATGAGGAAGATATCCCTCATTGACCGGAAGGGATCCCTTCCGGTTGATGAGGAAGATATCCCTCATTGACCTCGACCAGAAGGGATCCCTTCCGGTTGATGAGGAAGATTGAACTCATCAACCGGAAGGAATTCCTTCCGGTTGATGAGGTTTAGCTTCCTCATTGACCAAAGGAGAGTCCTTCCGGTGTGGAAAGTAAGGCGCGCCCTAGGAGATTTCTTGCACTTCTCCGCTCCGCAACACGTCTTACTCCGGTTTGTTGTCCGGGGTAACTTGCTTGATGGTCTTGTAGGTAGGTAAAGTGGTTCTCTTTTTATTGTTCTTTGGTAGGTAATACTCTAACTCTAATCTATCTCTAATAATTCTTTGGGCTAATACACGATTCACTCCTAAGTCACTCTGTTTTCTGATGTGTTTCGAGTCATAAGTCCCCCCCCTCTCTCCCCTCTTCTGCCTCAAACTCCACTCCTCCTAAGTATCCCACACTCCAGTCCCTTCCTGCTTCCCGCGATGTCATCTGCTGTCACCCCCTCGGACTCCACATGTCACCCCTCCGACGCCTGTCGGTCCAGGTACTCCTCCGGCCGCTCCTAAGCAGGTCTCCCACCGCCGCTTCCGCCTCTGGTCCGCTCCGAACCCCGCTTCCGCCCCTCAGTGCTCCCCGCTCCTTGTAGTCCCTCCGCAGTATACGCTGAACCCCCGTCCCGCAGTCGGCCGTGATCCCCGGTGTCCGCCGGTGCCCGGATTCCCCGCAGTAAGCTTTTCAGAACCTTGTGCATTCGATCTACTTTTCCCCGCTTTCCCGCGCCTCAGAAAGCTAGCCTCTCCACTAATGCACCACCGCTTTCCTCAGCCTGCTCGTGTAGCGTCAGCTCCGCGTGCTTTCCGCGTCAGCACCGCAAGCATTCCGCATGCCCCCAAACAAACCGGCCAAAGCTTTGGCCCAGGCGCGCTCCCACCACCACACCGGTCAATGAGGAAGCTATACCTCATCAACCGGAAGGGATTCCTTCCTGTCGATGAGGTTTAGCCTCCTCATTGACTGGAAGGAATCCCTTCCAATCAATGAGGAAGCTATACCTCATCGACAGGAAGGAATCCCTTCCAGTCGATGAGGTTGGGGGGTTTGCAGCGAGGGCTTCATGGGAGAATTTGATGAGCTGATCGATTTCATGTTGACATTGAGTTGCACTCATCAACGCTTCTTGTCAAGAACGGAGCACCTCGCTTTGAAAATAAGCCTCTTCTAAACAATTAGATAAGCTTTCACACCATTGTGCCACCGACATGCAACAATAAAGTAGGTCATAGATTTGGTTGACTACCAGGCATTCGATTTCGTCAAGTAGTAGAGTGCATCTAAATATTTTAGCTTTATCAAGGTGATGGTCATGGTGTACATCCGGTAAAGGTGATTTGAGAGCAAGGAAGAAGCCCGAAGATATGTACCGTTCTTTTCAAATTCTTGTCGAGCTTTGATAAGATTTCCAAAGTCAAATCTAGGTCCGGCTGGGAATAATTGCTGGAACCTTTTATGTCGAGTGCGACCAAAAGTTGATCAATGAGCTCTTTCGTTGAAGGTAGAAGGTTCGTTTCCAGTTCATCCAACTGTTTGAGTTTCTCGGTCATATCGTCAATCGTCAGGTTTTTGTCCATATCGGTTTTGCGCTTCGATGAAAATCTATATTTTTGATGAGGTTGGGGGGTTTGCAGCAAGGGCTTCATTGAACGGAAGGACTCTCCTCTGGGCGATGAGGAAGCTACACCTCATTGACCGGAAGGGGTTCCTTCGGGTCAAGTGGGAGGGAGCGACTCCCAAACCCACTCATACATGAGGGGTGGTTTGGGGAGTCGACTCCCCAAAAAAAAAAAAATGAAAATGAAATAGGGCGGACAACTCCCAGAATCCGCCCACACTTTAGAAGAGGACTCCCAATGGACGTCCGCTGACGGTTGTTGGGAGTCATTGGCGAAAAAACGGGAGTCGTTTTTCCCAAGCCCTAAAATAATAAGTCATTTATTTTTCTCTCTTTTTCTAACTTAAGAAAAAGGCTAAGTCTTCTCTTTTACTCACCAACTATTGGTGGAAATATACGAGTGATGAGTTTGCATTGTGGAATCTTGTTTGGGTATCAACTAATGACAATGAAGAATGATTTTTGATAGAGGAAGAATTAGAAATTGATTGCCTCTTGTTCTGATTTTTCTCTCTTTCTGATTCAATCTCTCAATGCTCACCTAGAGCTTGATGATTGATCAAGATCATCATTCTTTTCATTGCCTATGACGTCATTGACGTCACTACTCAATGTACAAGTGAATATCAAATTTTTCTCTTGTTCTTTTGTTGAACAGCTTATTTCTACAAATGATCACACATTTTGTGATCAGCGCGATAAACATTTTATTTCTTCAGGAAGCTTATCAGTTAACTGATAAACTTACCTGATTCTCTCCTCTTTTGAGGGATCAGACAAGGAATCTTATTCCAACAAAAATTAGAAAATTATCTACCATCAAAAGATAGCATCCTGAAGTGAAAAAAGACAAAAGTATGCTAAGATGAACTTGAGGCAACAAAATTGGAAAGGATAAAGTTCATTTCAATGATCAAAGAAGAGAGAAAGATGACAGAAGAAAGAGAGAAAAAGAAAGCTAGGCTCACCTGGAGGCAACAGAGCTGGGAAGGATGGGGAAAGGGGAATCCTTTCCAGCCCTGTTGACTCCAGTATATGAACTACAGAAAAAATGAAAAATCTCACAGATTCTGTCATGTGAGAAATGAAAGCAGGAAGAAACACACTGACAACTGTAGCTATGGTAATGAAAAGAATTCAGTGACATAGATATCTTAAAAAAGGAGTGCACAACTGTGATTGTGATTGAAAATTTAAAAATACCCTTGAAATATCAGAAATCTATGTCAGAGGAAATCCATCCCAAATCTACAGACTAGTTTTTTTGTTTGGTTCTGTAATCAAGACTAGATTTTGATTAAAGGATTGTGAAAACAGGGGAGTTGATATTGATCCATAAACTAAGCTTTGGACATATGATATCTTGGTCTAAACCTTGTGAATCTACTTGGAATTGAGTTCAAAAAAGCAGCAGAAATATATATATAACTAAAAAAATAGGCTTAGAGAGCCAAACAAACTGTCATGCAATCTAACGCCGGCGTTGACCTCCAATTCACATTTGTTGGATTTGTCGACGGCGTTAGATCGAGGCAGACAGGTGTCCTACTCAAGAAAACCCCAAAGGTCATCGAGTAAAACCCCCAACATCCGGGGCAAAGACAAGCTGCCTCCCCAAATTTGGGGGCATATACTAGTAACAATTAAAAGAATGGAATCTAAGAACTATGATGTAAATTTTGATTGTTGTTATTATGGATCAAGATGAATGAATCAGCTGAACTAGAGAAGAGGACTAATTTTGAAATATAGAGATTTCCCTAAAAACAAGGTCAAAGGTAAATTTTCTTTTACAAAACTCATTTGATATGATTTCTTCATTAGCAAAATCCAAGGGGCATGTCAAATTTTCCTTTTCATGGATTAAAAATTGAGTTGAACGCTTCCAACCTCAATTGGCTCTAACTTTTGTAAGAAATTTGTAATCTGATCTTTCTTGTTTGAACATCTTGGCACAAGAACGTATGATCCTTTCCCGCCAACTAGGCCGGATTCCCTCCTCTACCTGAACTTGATTGAGCTTAATATTTTTCATCAGATCTTGATTCCAGCTTGTAAGGAGCTTGTACACATTATGCTGCAGTGGTGCTGCTTGATCGAAGAAAGTGATCACAGCCCAGTCGCCGAGTTTATTGAAGAAAATGCTACTCTCTTTGCCTGCGTCTATATAAGTTGGCAGGAGACTTGAAAAATCGCCTACATGAACCGCAATTGATTTGCGTTTTCCCACATTTTTGACTACTCGATATCGGTTCTTCTTTGACTTCACCACTAGTCGACCGGACATGATGCGAAATGGAAGTCCTTCACTATTTTTGGAATCCGAAATAAAATCTCGATGGATGATCCACCAGGATTTACCACTGTATTGAACTTCGTTGACCTGGTTATTTCCCCAATGTTGGGTAAGAGTGATTGAACGGACTTCTGAAGGATTCTCTCTGAGAGGATACTCCCAACTTTGCTCCATCTTGGGTTGTGCATTAGTGACCCCTTTTTGATTGAGATGAGCCATTGCTTCTTGATGCTTTGGAACTTTGGGTTCCTGAAGAATAAACCTATCTTCTTTTATTGCTTTGAGTAATGGTGGTACCATTCCTTTATACACACTGAGTGGGATACGCATGTTGTAGGGCTTTTCAATAGTAGCTACCCACAGGCGGTTTTGATCAGACAATATCAAACGAGCAACTCCATGAGGCTGGAATTTCACAAGTTTTCCATATTCGTCGCCATCATAAACCCAGAGATTTGTATTCAATTCATTCCTGAACTCTATGCCGTGTACTCTTTCAAAGATGGTTTGACCACCGTCGTTGTCCAACTTTGTTAATATAACTGTACCAATTCCTTGGGGAGCTTGGCTATCAAGGATCATGTAGTGGACGACTTCCCGTCACTATCTGCGGGTCTCCCAGAAGCGATTTAGAGCCTGGAAAGCTAGATTTCCCAGCGAAATTTTAGACTTTTTGGGTCTAAATCGACATCTGCGAGGGTCCCAGATCCGACGGGAAGTCCTCCAGTCCCGCGATGTGTGGTTTGGATTTGTAGAACGTCCGATATCGCACAAAAACATCGCTGCCCATGCTTTGGCAATCAGCGCGGTTAGGACCATAAATCGAAGTGTTAACATAATGTCCTGTGGAGATAAATGAGTCGGTGAAGCTGGTTTGGATGTAAGGCAATTTTTCTGGATCTGTAACTGGAAATATTTATAGAAAACAACAGTGATCAGCGATTATGTTTATTTTAGATGCATCAAAGCTCATTGGATAAACCTGATCACTGAAAAGTGGAATGAGGGAGCCATATACTAATAGGAAAGCAGTACTCCAGTGAAATTCAATTACCTTGTGTTATTGGCTGTAGTGAGAAACGAATGTTTGTTGGTAAGAAAGAAACTAGGGGTATTTGTTCGGGATGGAGGAAATGGGCAATGAGCTAGTAGGTTGGCTTTTATGGGCATCACAGCTGCCCATGATCATGGGTGTAAGTATTGCCGTTGTCCAGGCTTGTTATGTTGGCCCGTTCATACTATTGCGAGTCAGCAGGTGTTCGTACAAGTGCTTGATTGGGGCCAGCTGTCTGAGACTTATAATTGCGCTTTCCCTGGAGCTGGAGCCATGTAGGGCAATCCCGCCTACAGAGATGAAAGAAGGTCTTTGCCAGGACGTGTTGCGGTGAAACATTAATGCTACTCAAGCCTTACACTCAAGAGGTCTCCTGATACTAATACACCACTTTGATCAAGGTCTCAGAAACACCCATGGTCGTTGCAGTATGAAGTCTTGCCGTCGGCCAGCTCTGCCTGCGCAACACAAATAATCGCTTCAGCGACGGCGAGACTTGCAACCCGGGGAGTGATCCCCAAGAATGTACAACCAACAGTCGGCGAATGATGTTCGTCCGTGTGGCTGCGAGGCGAGTTAAGGACGACTGATCACTGGCCGAACGATCCCCAAAACCCGCACGTCCATCGTCGGGCCGCTGTCTGAGGGGATGGGCCTGCCGTCTGACGGGACCATGCAAGTAGTATATCCCATCTCGCGAGGGTCAAGCGTCCAGTCCGGCCCAAGTGGATGTCGCTGGAACGAGTTCAGATATGTGTATCCTGGCGACTTGAAGCCTACCAAAAAAAAAAAAAAAAGGTTGGGTATCATGATGTTTTGCTCTCCTCGCTGGAGCCTGAGAGCATCTCTAACGGAGCCGCGATCGGGCGTCCGGGGGCGAACTTTGGCGGCCCGCGTTCCTTTTTTGCGCTCCAACGGACCCGGGAAACCACCCTGGGAACTTTGCGGGGGGCAGTCAAACCCTTGATGACCTGCCAACTTCTGCGGCCTGCCTCCCAGCCGCAACCACCCTCTTTCAGTCGACTTCAACCCAATCCTCAACCACCCCCATCTCGACAACACAACTCCTACAACTCGCACAACACCAATGGACACCCCAACTCGCCGCTCTCCAAGGAAAAAAAAAGGAAAACCTGTTCCGAAAAAGAAACCCGATGCAGTTGCCACACCAAAACCACCAGAAACCTCAACCACCAACAATGAAGACACCCCGAAACCTGAGGAAAAAAAACGAGGCTTTCCACGCTGGTCGGTCGAAGAAGACAAAAAACTTTGTGTTGCTTGGTTAAATACGAGCCGAGATGCCATCGTTGGGAACGGACAGAAGGCGGCCACCTTTTGGGAACGCATTCACGAAATGCATTCCGAACTTATTAACGAATACAACGAAGAAAAAAAAGGTGCGAAGGGCTTCAAAGAGCTTCCTCTACGACCCGTCGGTGCCGTTGAATGCCGTTGGGCACACATACTCAAGGTTCTTAACAAATTTTCGGGCTGCTACTCAAATGTTGAGCGACGTATGAAGAGCGGAAAAACCCGCGAAGATGTTGTACGTTTCCTTTCCATTTTCACTTCTCTCTTTTTTTACTTTTACTGATTGATGATATTTTTAGCTTACGGAGGCCAAGGAGCTATACAAGACCTCCTCCGGGTCTTGCTTCAATCTCGATCACTGCTGGGGAATCTTGAAGGATACCCCCAAATGGCAGGCAACTCAGCAAGAAAACGACGGCCGAGGCAAGAAGGCGATTCAAGCTCAATCAAACTCACAATCAACAGTGGCCGCACCGTCTTCCGACATGCCAAGCTCGACCCCGGCTGCATCCAGCCCTACTGTAGTTATCGATGCCGATGAAGACGATCCAGAAAACAGTCGATCTGTTATTGGGAACGTTCGTTTGGAGGGTCAAAAAGCTGCCAAACGGAAACGCGCGGAAGACAACGCGATTGAGAAGATCATTTCGATGCAACGGGACCTCGTTCAGATCTCACGCGAACGGTTGTCCTCAATGCAAGCATCAATGCGATCATCGGCGGATGAAGCAGTGATGTCAAAAGATCTCTCTATGTTGGATGAAGACAGCCGTACTTATTATCAAAAGAAGAAGAGAGCGATCATTGCTCGCGAGATACAAGAGGAAAAAGAGATGGAAGAGAAAGCAAGAAAAGAGAGGGATTTGAAGGAGAAAAAAGAGAAAGAAGAAAAGCAGCGAAAGGAAAAGGAAGAAAAACAAGCGAAGGAAAAAGCAATCACGGCCCACAACGAGACCGAGGAAGAGGAAGATGAAGACAATGCCGAAGACGAAGCCGAGGACGAAGCCGAACCCGATGTAGAAGATGAAGCTGAAGCGACGGATGACGATGTGGACGAAGATCAATGAGGAAGAGGGCTCACTATCTCACTTATACAAACCCGACCTTGTTACTATCTCACTTATACAAACCCGACCTTGTTTTTTTTTTATTCATTTTTTATAAATATCTCAATGATGAAATCAATTCATTTAGTTACTAGTTTCATTTGCAAAGATAGTGAGAACAATTGAAAAAGTGAGATAAAAAAAAATGAGAGAAAAATTGGTAAAGAAAAACTTCAAGAGAGAGAAAAGAAGAAACAAGCAAGAAAAAAGATAAGAGAATAAAAAAGAAATAAAAAAGGGATTGAGAATCAATGTCGATGTGGATTAAACCTGGTCTGCCAGAGATTCATCTCCGTCAGAGCCATGTTTATTCCACAGATGATCGATGAGATCTCGCTGGAGTCGTCCATGTGACGCTTGATCTCTGATCGCTTGGTATCGCAACAAAAACTGATCAAACGACGAATCTGTTGGTCCGTTTGTCGTTATCGAAGCTTGTGTGCGTGGTGTTTGGTGGTAGATGAAGTCTCCCTCAAACTCGCTTCCGGCTTCGTCTTCGATAGTCATGTTGTGCAGGATTATTACGGCCGACATGATTGAAGAGAGGTCATTGTGTCGCCAAAATCGACCGGGGTAACGCACAATTGCATATCGAGCTTGAAGAGCACCAAAAGCTCGTTCTACATCCTTCCGGTAAGCCTCTTGCATCTTCGCAAAATGCTTCTTCTTGGCTCCTTGTGGTTCAGATATTGACTGGATCAGAGTCGCGTATGGAGGGTAGATGCCATCAGTCAAGTAATATCTGATATCGTATTGATTCCCGTTAACCTTGAACGAAACTGAAAGGCCTTCGCCTTCTTGAAGCTGCTCGAAGATGGGTGAGCGATCGAGTATGTTGATGTTGTTGAGAGTACCCGGCATTCCAAAGAATGCATGCCAAATCCATAGATCGTAAGAGGCAACAGCTTCAAGAACGACTGTAGGCTCCTTTTCCTTCCCGGTATACTGACCATGATCAGCAACTGGGCAATTCTTCCAGCACCAGTGCATACAATCTAACGACCCCATCATTCCCGGAAAGCCTCGCTCCTCTGCTACTGCCAAGAGCCTACGCGCATCGTCTTCATTTGGCTTTCGTAAGTATATGTGGCCGTAAACGTTAACTATAGTCTGGCAGAATTTTTTTAAACATTCAATCGATGTTGATTCACCTATTTCCCATCAAAGATATAATCAGATTTGTGAAAAAACAGATCAAAAGTATAAGAATTTAACTTACTCATGCGAAGATACTCATCAATAGAGTCCCCACCACATCCATATGCTAACATCCGCATGGCCGCAGTGCCTTTTTGAAGAGCCGAAAATCCAAGCCGTCCAGCTGCGTCTCGCTTTTGTTGAAAGTATCGATCGGCCTTTTCAATATCTTCAATGATTTTGATAAAAAGGCTCCTGCGCATCCTGAATCGGCGACGGAAGAGGTAATCGGGATAAACGCAGTCCTCGGCGAAGTAGTCGTTGTAAAGTTGCTGGTGTCCTTGAAGGCGATTCCGGTATATTTCCCTTCTTCCAGGTGTTGAACCACCACGTTCTTTTTTTTGGTTTGTCTTGAGAATTAAGGCCAATGTGGTTTGGAGGGAGGCCAGAACATCGTCATCGTCGTCCATCCATCGGAGGAGATCGTCCATGGTGTTGGTGATGCGAGACGAGGGTGGTAGGTGAATCCAGAGAAATGACTCGGATCGCTGCTCAAAGTGCCAGTCCATAACTGGAGCTGACCCGCAACCCGTGGGAATTGTGTTTGCGGCCCGGGGAACGCGCGTCAACTGCCCCCCGGACCGTTAGAGATGCTCTGAGGTACTTGCAAGTTGCAGGCCGTTCCATTGGAGCCTGCTTTTTTTTTTTTTTTCTTCATCGTTCTAGTGCGCCGGTCAACTGCAAGGGTTCATCACGTCCACTCCCGCAAATCGAGTGACACAACGGCCAACAGCCAACAATATTCGCCCTCAGAGTCAACTTCAATCGTGTCGTTTTAAGCGGTCAAAGCGTTCCTCCATTAATGGCTCTCTCTCGGTTAGATATTCTCACACGGATTCGACTCGGCGTCCATCATCCACAACACGACTTTATCCTCCCTCCATCACAAACTTAACCACTCTCATTTTTCTTATATGTAGCTACCCAACGCGTTGAAAAATAAATAAATATTGATGGTTATTGTTGACATATGTACGGGATGAGAGTTTTTAGGTTCATCTCTCTTGCCCGGAGCCGATTATGATCTTTGCCAAAAAAATGGTTAATCTGAAGAATACAGAATCATGGAAAAAAAAATCAAAAAGGGGAAGAAGTGTCCAAATAAAAGAAAAAAGAAAAAAGAGGGTGGTTTTGGGACATGTTTAATCAAGTCTCTTTTTTGGTTGTGTAGTAATATGAGAAGAAAATGAAAAAAAGGAAATGAAAAAGGAATGATGTTAGTGGTACAAGTTTGATGGATTAAAACAAACAAATTTCTCTGAGCAAAAAAAAAAAACACAAGTAGAGAGATTAAAACAATGATATGTAGAAACACTTTTTTTCGGAACGGAGCTCATGGAGTTTTTGTCCTTAATTGTATCGATCGACACTTTGGAAAAAAAAGGAAAGAAAATGGAGAATGCAATATTTAGAGCGAAAAAAAAATGGGTGTATGTATGTCTGTGTGATTCAAATGGATGGAGGTGTTAGAGAAATGGGGGAATAAGAGTGAAATGAAAATGTAGTGATGGTTCAATCATCAAAAAAAAAGCGAGAGAAAAAAAAAAGGAAAGAGAATTAAATAAGAAAAATGTATCCAAAAAAGAAGTGGTTAAGGAGAAGAGAAACGAGCACGAAAAAAAAAAGTAGAATACAAAGAAAGGTGGGGAGGTAAGACAAAACAAGCGAATGACACGACAGGAGACGGGTCCACAAAAAAAAAAGAAGATCATAAGGACGGATGAGATTTGAGGAAGGGGGAAGGCGAGATCTGGAAGGGGATGAAAAGATCAGCAGGATGATGAAGATGATGGAAGTGGATGACGGGGTGATTGAGGGAGATAGGATGGTCGAGGAGAGAAGCCTCGTCGTTAGACGAGGAGCAGACGGAGGCGGAGCGGGAGGAGGCGGGGCGCGAGGAGGGGACCAAAGGGGGCGTCCGGCGTCCCCCACTGGTCGGCATCCGTCTCATCCTCCTCATCTCTGATCCCCCTTCTTCTTCTCTTTCGCCTCCCTTCGATTCACTCGTCCTTCTTCGATTCTCTGGGTGGGCCGTCTGGGCGGGCTTTCTGGTCTTGAGGGCCTGGGCTTGTCGCAGCTTCGAGATCTGGTAGGTGCCTAATAAAAACTGCTCGAAGTTCAGGCCGCCTGTTTTCTGCTGATCGATCGACTCCCTGTGTTGCACCCAACCATACACACACACACAAAAAAAAACAAAAAACGATAAGAATCTGGACGGGCGCAAGGGAGTAATGTGTCAGAGAGGGAGAAGGACCCACCAAATGTGAGCGAGAGTTTGGAGGGGCAAGCCCGAGCGGATCCAGACGGCGCGAATGAGCGAGCCGGGGAGCTTAATTTTCTGGTTATTAAGATCGTAATAAGACGAAGCCGAAGAAGAGGAATGAAGAAGATGATGATGGAAGTGTTGGTGGATGAGGGTGGTCCACAGGGCCTGGATAGCTTTCCTGAAGCAGCCGAGATCGATCGGCGGTCCTTCCTCTTCCTCTTCTGCTTCTTCTTTTGGTGACGGTTGGGAGTCCGCTGGAATGGTCTGGGTTGAGTGGGTGTGTGTTTTTCGTGGTGGGACTGGTGGGGGCGAGCGGGAGACTGAGCGACGAGTACAAGCTGGTACTGTAGGAATTGGGTTGGGGGATCTCAGTTTGCTGCTTATTGGTAGACTATCTCTAATAAAGGAAACACACACCTTTGATCTGTTCCTGCTTAGGCGGTGTGGTTGGCTGAGGTTGGCCCAAGCTGAGCCATTGCTGCAAGTCGATCTGATAGCATTCTTCGGACCCGATTTTCTTCTTCGGGGGTAGTCGTAGTAGTAGTGGTTCCTTGGAGTGGTGGTCCGAGTCGACGGATGTCTTGGTGGCTGGTCGAGTGTTGCTGGATGATGGATCTGGTATCTGCTGTTGGTTCTGGTTATTATTATTGTAGAATGAGATGAGTTGGTTGATGGTGGTCATATTTTGTTCAGGTTGTGTTAATCCCAAGTTCTCGAATGCTTATGTATTATTGTGGGTTTCGTTTCGTCTGTTCCTTCGTCCTGACCATCGGTGATAGTCCAGTGTTTGTATGTTGGTGTGGTCGTAGTTTAGAGAGTTTAAGGGTGCATACATTCCTTCCCAAAGTTTTTATGTGTGTGTCTTGGCAGTTGCAGCAGTTGCTTAGTCAGCATCCGACAGGCTCTTGGCGTCGTCCAGGCTACAAACACACCAGCAAGACCCCCTTAATGATCATTAAATCAGCAGAGATGAACCCTTTGATACCCATCCAGCGCTTCTTCATTAAGCGATCAGCCACTGAGACATTGCATTCTGGCCCAGCACATGGCAAGAGCCAGCTGATGATGAGCCTGCCCGTCATGTGAAGGCACCCAAAAGAAGACACCCGGACTCGCCAATATTGTTGATGAACAACGAACTTCCCACCATATCATCAGCCCATCACTCATCAGTGTGTCGTGCATCCAGCAAGCCACACTTGGATCCACACATCATGTTGACCATCCACAGTCGTCGTCTCTCGCAACATCCTTTGTTCTCACTCAAGTATTTGAATATGTATCCGCCAGGCCAGGTTACATACACAACCATTTTCACAAAAGACTTGAAAATCGAAAAAAAGGGAAATTATTAATATCTATTAATATGCAGTCGCATCGAGTCAGCACCCGAGTGGGTTGGTCTGTCAGCTCACATATTTAACCTTCCACAGGAGGGTCATCCCCAAAACCACACCTGGACATGTGGGGTCCTGTGGGGTCCTGATCTTAGGACATGACTGACCCTGGCCATCCATGACAAGACCACATCTCAACAATCTGTCTCTGGTTGAAATCCTCCCCATCCCACTGACCGATGACTGATCACCATTATGTAACTCACATCCAGCAATCATTTCTTTTTTGATTCCCATGCAACATGTTTTTTTTTGTTCTGCTACAAGTGCTATCCACTGAAAATTAGTCCACATCAATGGTGTAATTAAACATCAAGTATTTCTTTTTGGCAAGAATCATGTGACAATAATCAGCACAGCTCTGTGCCAAAGAATTTCCACTGCAGTTGAGGCTTATTAATGTTGAGCATTAAAAAAAAGAAAATCTATCCACCTTCAGTCATTGCCAGGAATAAGAGGGGTTATACGCAAACTTAAGCTTTAAATTTTTTTGAAAATTATCCTCAAGCTCTGCCGGAACATGTAGAAAGTTTTCCAAGATCTCAATTTATTTGGGGGCTTAACTGGAAGCAACGCTGCCACAGATACGGTATCTGCCCGTATCTGCCATGTATCACTATGTATCTGAGCCCCAATAATAAAAAACTATCTGACCAATCTGCTTTTATTTGCAAGGAGATTCAACAAATTTGGTTTTTGGCCATGCAGCTTTGCAGAATTCTCCATGATACACACAGCATATTGTATCTGTGGCAGTGTTGCTGGAAGACATTCCATCACCTTTATTGCTAGATTTACAAGAAGGGGTCCCTGAAGCCTTTGACATACATTGGTTGGTGAAAACTTGCTCCCAATCTATTTTGAGCAGCAAAATGTAATGTTTTGGACTTGCTCCTAAATGGACTTCCTGTTAGTCTGGCAACCTACTTTTAGCCTTCCTTTCTGCTGATGAGAGCTCAATTTCACAGTCAAAAGTATCAATGAGTTCAACCAAGCCAAAATGCCACTAAACAGTACAGTGGCCTCAGCCATTAGTGTTATGTAGCTCCAGACTGCTAATGTTGAATGGAAGAATATCCAGTGTTAGTGGCATTACACTAATGCTACAGTTACCATAGTTGGTGCACCATTGGAGGATGAGCTCCTTCAACATGACTGTACCACCATGAATGGAAAGACCAAGGCGGGAAATTGAGGGAAAAGAAGGGTATTCTGGTGAGATCTGGTAATGGTCACACATTGCTTCTGCACAGTCACAGTTTGACTACATAGTTTGAAAATTTAGCAGCCAGATGTTTGGCTGGTTCTTGGAAACCTTCTACTGGAGTGTCATCAACTTGTGAATCTTCTGTAATTGAGTCTTGTATCAGTCAGATGGAATATTTCTCCCTTGGAATCTTTTGGAAAAAAAAATGTGATGTCCTCAAGTTTTATAGAAAGATTTTTTAACCTAGTGGAGCAAGATGACTTGTGACATGGTTTAGGGTACTGATGATATTTTTTTTTCATGGTTATCCATGTACCTGAGAAACAATAAATCAACTCCCATCATTTGAAATCTGGAATCTGGAGAAGCTTTTGTTGTAACTAAAACCTAACTCAAAGTTCAATTCACCAATTTACACAATCACTGCACAAAAAGAAGGGTTATGTAATAAATTGGGTTAACCACAGCAATTTCACTGGAGTAACCTGCATTTCAAATGGCTGGAGTTGAGCATGTTTGTTTCCCCATAGCATTAGTGATGACTTGATCTTTAAAATGTGGCCTTCCAAAAAAATATTGAGCACTTAGCCGTGCAATGAAGAACGACTGCTCATTGATCTTTAACCCCTGGTTCAAATGGTCTAATTCTGAATTGCAAACTTCATCTGGTGATGAAAATTGGGTAACATTGGGTTCTACATACTCTGGAAAAAGAATTTGTGAAATTCAGTTTTGGCAAAGCTAAATGAAGAATATTATTAAGGAATGAGGTATGCTGAGCTTTTCCACCGGCAACTAAACCATCATCAACCTCTAGGAACTTTGAGTAGCTGAAAGTACTTAGCTCACTGAGATAGGGAAATTTGCATCTTTTATCTTGTATCTTCATAATGCTAGTGATCTTGACATTTCAGGGAAGCCTGAGGCTACTTGTTCTAGATTGTTTTCGTCATAACTTTTCACATAGGAGTATGTAGCTTTTGGGAAAATCCAGGTGACAAAACAACCAAAACAAACATGTAATAGGAGTTGTGAGAATTATCATATGAAGAAGAAGTCAAAGAAAATTATTGTATGAAGCATTCAAAGAAAATTATCATATTTAGAAGTGATTTTTAAAGCTATTTACTAAAAAAGAGTTCGTTTTTTAATGCAGCTCAATAGAGCTCTTATATTCATCTATGGCTGGCACTTGTACCTCTACCGTGGAATCTAGCTTTTCAAAAAGGGGTTTACCATCAAGCATCGATGGTATACGGCCTTTCTCCATTTCCGCCAGCAGACGTGCATTTTCTTTGTATATGCGGACGAACAATACGTATGCTGCTAAGTGTAGACCGATCTTTTTGGGGTGATAAGTACTTGTGTAAATTGTCACCAGAGCCGTAAGAGCCATCTCCACTACCTTAACTAATTCTGAGGCAGTTTCGCCATGGAGAGGTGATCGGGTCATTTCATATATCAAAAGAAGCTCGTTTCCGAAGTGTCCGGTCCGTGGGCTTGGATTGTATAAGCGGTCATGTTCCAGTGCGGCGATTTCATTGACTCGACTTCGTGACGATTGATCTTCAACGCCTGCGAGTCCTGCAGCTATAAGATCGTCCAATTCGCGTTGCAGAGATTCTTCTGTCGGGAATGGATCGAGCTGTTCTCTATAAACACCTATTATCCAAATTTAAATTTATTGGAAGAAAGTGGAATCATAAATCAGCACGTGGGTAGGGGGGGTGGTACATATCTTAGTTAATTTATCTTTGAGTTTTCTTCACTCATTTTGAACGAGGCAATGACACCTACTCATCGTTTTTGATCCTAGATCCAAGTGTATCCGAACATTAAGTGGAAAAATTTGAAATCTTGGTTAGGTGTTGACGCCAATCTTCTGCTCAACTATATTTTAAGTACACCCCGGGTGCAGTCCGCCGTGAGGGAGACGGTAGTTTTGGCCCGTCGCGAGACGGAACCTCCCAGCGAGGCTCGACGCCCCATACACGGGCCCCGTACAAGGTCTCAATGACGGTTGCTATGTGCCCGTCTGGGAAATCGCCGCCAATGACCGTCAAGAACGTTCGTCTCGCGACGGCGGCAGCCGTCGTGCCTCAGCCAACACCTCACCGTGAAGGTAACGTGTACAGCCCAACATCCTGTCCCCCAGTGGAGAAGTAGCCGTCAGACAACCGCCGCAACGACGTGCAGCTTGCGTTGTCTGCCCATCCGAATCTCGCGCAGAGCAGGCTGGGCCAGCCAGACACAACCCTTGACCAGGCCCCAGCCAGGGGGTGGCCGTTCGCAGGCTTTCAAGTTGGGTCATCGGCGAGTGCTCATCGCACTCGTGCTCTCACAGTAAGGCATAGGTATCTAAGGAACGTGTGTGATTGTCATTGGTCTTGTGGAGGGCTACGCGGATGCACCCGCTGCAGCAAGGTAACGGACAAAAGCATATACAAGATGAAAGAGAAGAAACACGCAAAAAAAAGGCATGCCCGCAGGGCGACCTTGAAGGAACAGAAAAGTAGCGCATCACAGGGCAGGAATTACTCATTCTGCAGAGCGCGCATTTGATGGTACAGCGGACAATCGTTCTTCCGCCATCACAGCCATTTGGGCTAGGACCTCGTCTTCAGTGGGGGTTCGGATACGATCTACGTCCATGTCAGCGTATAAGGTATCGCCGAACATTTCGTTATCGAGCTGCATGATCAACCGGTAGAAGCTAACCAAAAAGAAGGGTTTCAACTTTGTCAAGAGTCACACAGAGACAAATGCAGGACCCACGCTCGGCGGTACAACGGGTCCCTTGCCCTCAAATCGACTAGTTGTTCATCTATTATTGCCCATTGGCGGTTGGTTTCACCCGAACCGCGTCTGGCGTAATGCGAAATGGTCTGGATACGAAGGTGTGCGATTCTGGATCTCAAACGACGGTCGGCTGCGTGGGCGGCGGCTCTCTCAACGCTCGGAATCATCCGTTGGGTCAACTGAAGAGTCCATCATCATTTAGCCACTGAACCAACAGGGTTTTGAGAAGGGGGGACTTACATCAATAATCAGGTTTGTCAAGCTGGGTACCGGGTGCGTGATCGGACGACCCGAGGGCTCATGGACCATGGTAAGAAGCTACATATCATTACATGATCAGCCACAATACGTTAATCAACTTCCTCAGGCAACACTCACAAGATTACGCATGGCTCCTCGCTCATGCTTTAACCGTTCACGGATCTCCGTGCTCACACTCGCCAGGGCCGAAAGGTCTCCGGAGATAAACCCAACAGGCAAGTAATCTAACTTGAACTCGTCCGACTGCTCCCTCACATGATCCTGGAGCCCACATAACACATGCTGGTCAGACCGGAGATGTGACTCAGAGCTGGGCTAAAAAGTCACTCACCATGACCTGATCCAGAAGGGTTCTGCCAGCTGCTGGGGCACCCCTCACTGGGAGGCTCGAATACACATCGAGTGTGGCGCACATGAGCACCTCCTTAGCCTTGTTTTGCACAAAGGTCTAAAAGTAAAGTAGAGTATGATTGGTTGTCAGCAGTCGCGCACAAAACATGCAATCATGAGCAGAGAGACGGCAAACCTTGAAGTGGTTTTGGTAAGGGTAAATCCGAGCTTGAACCGACAGAGGGATGCCGGCCGAGGTAGAAGTTCCATTCTCGGCCGCATCCCGTGAGCGAATGAGTGATTCGACAGCTTGTCGGGTGGACAGGACCGAGTACAACAGCACGCTGTACTGTCGAGGAGAAGGAACCTTGCAGGAAAAGAGCCCTTCATGAGCTCATTACACTTAAATACCAGAAATATTATCTAACAGCTTACTTGTACAAGCTCTTCAGCAAAGTCCATGTATGGTGCACGAAGATCATAAGACCGACCGAGGTGTTCGACAAACTCTGGGTTAAAGTCAGAGTCTGTGATCTCAAATGGCACTATAGCCGGGGGCCATCGTCGTATTACGCCCGCGCCTGGTCGTCCAAAATGGCGAACAGTTCCCACCGTTGGTGGGTGACCGGCTAGCGGGGTTTCAATCCCAACAGGACTCGGCAAGGGGCCTACATAGTAGATCAGCGAGCAGCAGTGAGCTCGATAACATCAATAAGAATTAATGGTGATTGTTGGAATTAGACTTACTAGGTCGAGTATCGTTGCTCCCGCTGGGGAGTCGACCCCCCCCTCCATTGCGTGGCAAGGAGGTGGGGTAGGGTCGAGTTCGATGGTTTGCCAAACCAGAGGTGTTCGACCGATTTGTCCGAGCAGATGGAGCAGGGTGAGCTTGAGTTCGGCTCTCGTTATCTGACTGACTCGTGGTTGACATAATGGCTGTTGTACTTGGAGGTTTGAGCTGGAGTTGGGGGAGGATGGTGGATGTCTTTTTGCCAGAAAAAGGAAGCCAAGAAATCGCAAGGGGAAAATCAAAATTCGTTGTAAGTTGAAGTCAAAGGTTGTGGTGGGAAGTGGTGCGGTTGCGGGAAAAAACAGGCAAGGTCTGGCTAGTTAAGTACTGCGGGTCGTTCAACACCCAAGTTGGGAAGAGAGATCACAAACTGCCCCAGGGCCGTAATTGATCGGCCTTACTGTGCTATTCAACACAGCCAAAGACCCATCCCACCGATTGATCATGTGATGACGCTTCGGTATTGAGATTCTGTGCTATCTGTGTCTGTCTCCGATTCCCCATGGCCCCACAGCCACACCCAGATCCAGCTATCCACCTGTGATTCTGTGTTGCTTGCTGGATCCGGGTGCAGCGACTCACCAATTGATGATCACAAAAATTTGTCCATTCATTCGCTCTCTCAGAGACCAATAGCATACCAAATTATCCAAGCAAATTTGGGCCAGCTCGATCCGAGGACATGGCCAAGGAATTCCCTCTTATGTGATCATTCATTAGAAATGATCGGAGCAAATCTTACTGGGAAAATACATGTGCAATTTGGGCTCAGTCGATAAGATGGCAGAGCAAAGCTCACTGGGAAAATCCATGTGAAATTTTGGCTCAGTCAATGAGATGGCCTGGTCTTCTGTTTAGCATGTGATCAAGATGGAATAGAAGAATTAACCGTTGTGCTGAAAGACTTCTGAGACAATTTATGTTTATCGTCATCACATTGCACACCCGTATCTCCAGAACACTACACACAGCTCATTTCAGACAATGGTCCAGCATTCACGCGAGCGAGTTTCTCAGAAGTTTGACAGAAGTATGATTCTCAGTGTTTTACTGATTTATCTGAAGATGCTAATTGCATGAACTAACAAATTTGAATTCTATAGGCCTTTGGTATCAGTTGCCCGGTGAAAAACGGGACAAATGGTTTTGTCGGCTTTGTGGAGGGGGAGGCAGAGGCAGTATGGCCGCAAATCGTCCTATCCATGAGAGCAAGCCGGGTCACAAGGCCGAACTTCTACGCCAGAAAGAGTTGGCTCAGGCCAACAAGGCAGCGGCCGATTTACTTGCGCGAGGTCCCCCTGAGATGCAATGGACATCAGCTCATGACGAACCACCAGCCCCTCCGTCACCAAGTGTTGTTTCAACCAACGAATTGCATGCTGATCTGCAATTTATCGACCAGGACGAGTGCTTCAATGATCCAGAAATCCCACAAAGTCGTGCCTCATCTGAATCAAGGGGAAGCAGCGAGAGCGGCGGGTGGGACGGACTCATACCAGAGGACTTTCCCCCAATGGGTGATCCAACTGCTCCTGAGGCTGAAACCGCGCGTCAAGCTTGCCCCAGAAGAGTTCCAAATCAAGACTGGTGGCCTTTCCGCGCAAAGGAGGTGCGTACTCGGACTAGTTGAGCCCCTGAGACATGTGATTGTTGCTGAATCCCCTCCCTTGGCTGTGAATTCTTGGACAAATTGCAGTATCTGGTTAGCTGCTTGCTCATTGGACACACCCGGACGATCATTTCTCGAGAAATGTACCAACACGTTAGGTCAATGTTTGAACTGTGTGGAACCCTGCTGCCCGATTGGACTACGGTCCGACGTGGGAAGGGAAAATTGCGAAAGATGATTGGTATGGACGTTATTGGACGCCGATCCGTACTCAACCGCCCAGTTCACTATCTCAGTCTCCAGAAGACACTTGCGCTAGAAATTTCCAATCCTGTTGTTGAGCCTCATCTCAAATACTATCCCGAAATCAGTGCCGGTCAAGCTGTGTCGCGGTTGTCCCAGTCTCGCAAGTGGCTCAAGGAACTTGGGCCCAACACTCGGGCACCAATGGTTCGACATGGATGTCGAGATTTCTACCTGCACGAGTTAGTACAGCTCAAGTCAAGTCTTATTGTGGTACCCGAGTTCTTCTGCGAATTAGATGGAGAGATGTACGCCCTATGTCAAACACCTGAAATCGAAATTTGCAACGAGACTGGCCAGTTGTTGTTCAAGATCACAAAGAACCCCCCCTTTGACTCTCCGAAGTTGTCTCGCATAGCGGTAGCAGAGTTTGGAGTGGAGTATCCTTCAATGACTGTTGATGGAGGAGGCCTCATGTCTGACTTGTGTGGTAACAGGTTGTATGGTGAGCTCATGCACTACAAACCTGTCTTGTTATGTTCCTCTTGCCATTCATACTGAAACTGTGGGGCAATGTAGAGTTAGGGACTGAGAGCGAGGTTATTGGCCCCATATTTAATCGGTGGCGATTGAAGGCTGCTGGACGAGTCATCCGTCATATGCCAATCTGTTTGTATGCCGACGACACCTCTGGCAACAGTTCAAAGAAGTGGAACAAGCATATATCATACTACTTTACCCTCGCAGGACTCCCGCCAAAACTCACCAACCAGCATTTTAATTGTCATTTCCTCTCAACCTCCAACAGCGCTGGGGCGATGGAACTGGCCGAGGGGATTGTAGATGAGTTGATGTGTGCCAACCCCCACCCTGGTAGTTCTGGAATTTTGTATTGATGGCAATTGTCTTTCTGCAGTACCTTGACTGAAAAAGGATGTGTTGCCTACGACTGCGGACTGGGTGAAGAAGTGTTGATCACATCGAGTTTACTTTGCTTCTTGGCCGACAGTCCGATGCATGCCGAAATTACAAGCACTGTCATGCCAGGAAATTCTCGCAATCCGTGTCGTGCATGTGATCTGTCAGTCAGTAGCGTGAGCATGAAGAAAACGATGGCATATCTGCAATTCTTTCTGCAAATCAGTGCGGATGGGTATTGGGTTAGTTTAATCATGCTACATATTAGATTGGGGAAAGTCAATTACTCCACACTGACATGTTAGTGGAACAGATCAAGAATGGTCCTCGATCGTGGATGGGCATAATTGCAAACTGCTATCTGCTTTGGGACATCTCGAAACAGCCAAGAACAAAGACTCGAGTGGGCGTCGTGGGTGGTGATCTGGGTGTAAAGGATTCAGTCAACAATGAAATACTTCTATTCAAGTACACTATTCTTGCTAAGGGTGATTCTGCCACTCCCGCCAACCAGGAATTTATTCGTCGGATTGCTGTGCTTGACCAAACTGATCAAACAAGGCTATTTAATCCTTTTTTCAGACTACCAGGTGAGATTGTGTATTCTAGTTCTCTTCTTTGAGTTTTGGATGCTTACCTCCTTCAAATGGGTCTTTGCAGATTTTGATGGGTGTACTGACACACCGGTAGAGGTGCTGCACGTGTTCCTACTAGGGGTGGTGAAATATATGGTTAGGGATGTCATGGCCCGAGCGAAACCGGCCCAATTGGGAGACATCGAAGGCTGGTACCGATCATTCCGGACCACATCTCTCAACATCCCATCTTTATCGCCAAACTACATGGCCAAGCACTCGTCCAACTTTGTCGGAAAGGAATTTAAGGTTGTACTTCAAAGTGCCCCATTTGTCCTCTTTGAAATGTTTGATGACGATGAACGACTTGCGTGGGGTGCACTCTGTGAACTGGCGCCACTCATCTTCCAAACCCGTATAGAAGACATGGACTCTTACCTTGCCGACCTGCGCTTTCACATCCAGAAATTCCTTTATTACATTATCAGAACCACAGCACAGTGGATAAATAAACCCAAGTTCCACATGCTTCTGCACTTACCGGAATCCGTCGAACGATTTGGCCCCGCGAGTCTATTCGCCACTGAGAAGTTTGAAAGCTACAATGGTGTGCTACGGAACGCTTCAATACATTCAAATCGGCAAAGTCCTGGAAAAGACATTGCAATCACGTTTGCCAACTTCAAGGTTATCAGGCATCTCACTTGTGGCGGATACTTTGAGCACCCAAAGCACCCAAAGGTTTATATCACTTCTTCCTCGGGGGTAGCTCAGCTCTTCAAGAACAACTCACGTGTCCAAAAATCAATGGACTACAACGAAAAAGTGGCGTCAGTTGAGGCCGAGGCTCCTTACCCACTGAACATTCGACTGCCCCTGGGGGAGCAGAGGCCAATTCCGCCGCCTTTGCAAGTGCATCTACCGGGCCGTCAGCTATCTCAGCTGGTTGGCATTCAATTGAATGCTCATCGAGCCCTTCGAAAAGATGTATTTATATTGGTATGTGTTAGATTTGGAATGCACTCTTGACTGCATTCACTGAACTGCTACTGATCCAACTTCTAACAGGTACGGTCGGCAGAGGAAAACACACTCCATTCGGTTGGGTGCGTAGACCATATTTGGCAGGCAAGGAAGAAATCAGGTGTCTCTTACTGGGTGTGCTACACCGAGTATGAGAGGGGTAATGTTGACAAATTTTATAACATGCGGAAGGTTGTCAAGACAGGTATTACCAAGTTTGTCAGGATCAAGGTAAATTAATTTTGACTCACTGCAGGTTGGACTTGTACATAAGGGCTGATTCAATCATTACTCCTGAAGGACGTGGTGTCTACAATCAATGTCCAGCATAATTGCCATGCAGGAGGGTGTGAAGTGACTTCAACTGGGAGAGTTTGTGTCGAGCGGGAGGAGTCTGAGGAAAACAACAAGACGGTGACACACAAGGACACTGTGCATTACGTGGTGAATTCAATGGAAATACCGGGTGCGAGGGGGCTACGTCTCTGGGTTGACATCCCACGAGGGGAAGAAGAAGTCGGGCAACTTATCCCAATGCTACAACGGGGTTTGGCAGTTTGGCGCAATACAGGAGAGGATGAGGGCCCTGAAGAGGAGTATTTTGATGATCCGTTAGCTTAGGGCAGAGATTTATGATGCATTTCATGTACATAGCCAGTCTGCTTCCATTACAATGTTGTCTGAAACTATGAGCACATGATGGTGAGATGGGCATTTTCCTGCATGCCTGACTTCAAAACTTTTTGTAAGCTGTTTTGGAGTTCTACTTAAACCTGTCTGTACTCTGAATAATTATTGATTTGCTTCTTTAACGTCTTCATCTTCTTCCATGCTTCTGCTTTGCCACTTGACTCATGGAATGGTTGGTGAATGACTGGGGTTCATAGTTTTTCTTCTCTTCTTTTCTTTTTTTTTATGCTCATCTCTACCAAAAATGATTTGTATCAATGATTGTGACTAATTTGTTGACACACTTTTATTGTTCATCTATACTTTTTTGTTCTTCTCTGTTTTCTCTACTGATTATCACTTCTTTCTCTGTGTGTCTTAGTTATCTTATCTGTCTTAGTTATCTTATCTCCCCTTACTGTTTTACAATTTTCACTTTTCATCAGTCTTTACTGGAATTTTATTTTATTATGATTAGCCCTGAACAAACCACCTCAAGCTCCAAGGGTCCGTGAGAATCTTGTGTGAATTCAACAACCTGGATGCCCAGTCTTTTCCAGGAACGACTTCCAGCCGGTGGGAAGTCGTTTCGAGTGATCTTTATAAGTCGAGTGGGGAGGTTTTTCATGTTGCCTCCAGAACGACTCACGTCGGAGGACGTTTCCTAGTCGGTTTGGAGGCGACGTCGCTTCGGCTCCGAGGTGCGTGGCATTCTGCCTCTGAGTCGGCTTGCAGGCGCAGACGACTGAACGTTCGGCAAATGTCTTCAACCTGTTTGCGAGGCGTTCGGCCCAGTCGCCTTGAAAGACCTGGGTGCACCCTTGTGTGCTTGGGAGTTGGGGTGCGCGGGGCCGTGCGAGTTACGTTGGTGCCATTGAGCGCCGGTAGTGGGCGGACAACGCACTGTCCAGCAGATGTGCCCGATTCATTGGTGCGTCTGCGGGCTGGGGTGATCTCGTGCCGTCGGAGTTGGGGCCCTCGGCTGGCATGAGGACGGGGAGCAGTTGGCGACAGCCAGGAGTCGTGATCCTGGGAGCAACCTGTGTGACACGCGTCTCCAACCGAGTATGGGGCGGTCAGCCTTATGCCATACGGAGATCAGCCGTGACGGCTCAAAGATCGACGTGAGCTGCCCAGCCGGGGCGGGTTGACGTCGAACTTTGATTTTTCTGCACCCGCGGTGTACTACACGAACAACGACGAGCAAAACTCACGCGTGAACAGAGGCCTTGATCTCTCTTTACCGATTCGTAGCCCAGCAACGGGTCAGATTGTTAGCCGAAGATAGCGCCGTTTGTATGGAGTTCATGAGCGTGAGCTCACCTATTCCAACAGCATTCCCCACCTTAGCTGAAAAAGAATTCCAGCTTAATAATTTCCTAACTGGATCTCTACCCGCTCCCAAAGTTTGAGTCATCAGACTGCAAAGAATATGCAAGACGACGGCGAGAGCGAGAATACGTTTGGTTTTGATAACGTTCAGGCCTCTGGGAAAGTCCCTGAAAGAGACCATCGATTGAGTTTTAGATATCATTATTTTTGAGGCGGACAAATGCTAGACTTTATGATGGTAATAAGTAGAGAGTCGAGGATATTTATGGGGGAGAGCTATCGAGTGAAGTGCAACAACGGCGAAGAGCTTGGTGGGTGCAAGTAACCAATGGCTCAAGATCGGTCAATCTTTATGCTCAAAAGTTCAATGATTCATTCCAGTCCTCGATCAATTCAAGCCTAGGGAATGAATATGTGGATAGATACACATTCGTACAACACAAACCCTTGGATAGGTGCCACACATGATTCAGGTTCCACTACCTTGTTGTTTCATACCGGATCAACTTCGGTATAGTTGCGTATGTGACAGATTATTTCAAGGATAAAAATGTGTAAGTATTTGCCTAGCATTTTATTCAGGCGTATTTGTTGTTGCGCACTCCTTCCATTCCTTGCCCGACTATGTTGTAGCACCTATAGGGGGAGGATGCTACAGGTTTGGTTTCGAGGCCCAATATAATTTAGCCCTCTTTATATTCAGTCTCGCTTGATCAGCTGTCGAATGTGACGTTTTGTTCTGGGTTTGTTTCTTTCCTCCATGGCGCAATGCTGGCTCACATATTACACATAGCTTCTGCTTATGCTTGCAAGCTACTCGTTTGCTTCGCATAAGCTTATGAGAAATGTGCGAATAATGGGCTTTGAACTGAAACTTCTCGAGCCAAGCGTTTGAGGATAAAGATGAATTTCTTTGCGCAGGTTGTATCTTCACTTCACCAATTGTCTCTACTTCAGACAAGCCAAGCTATCCCGCTTTCAAAAAGGCTGAGACTTGTGAGAGGAAGCAAACATTCAACATTATTATTATTACCCACCGTCCCGAGTCTGCACCCCACCGGCTACAGCCAGTCAGTCCGCACGGCACTGCAGGTATGGGGATTCAATGGACATAAATCCCAATATGTATGTAGGAGATAAGACCAGCGTGCTTTGATCAGGATGTGTATCGTTTTTTCTAACAATGCCAAGACCTTGGCTCACCAGGGGAATCAGGGGCATCCAGCCAAACTGGATCACCAGACAAGCCTCATACATTTGATAGACAACTCGGTACTTCAATCAAAACAATTAACTTACTGACCAGACCCCACGTGTTCTATGGGTCATTTAGAACCTTTGATAGCTGTACAACATGGTGATGTTTCGGATTGTTTTCAGAGCTTTCGGACGGTAACCAACGTATGTACCCTATGTTCAAGAGCATAATTTGCATCAGGAGAAGAATGCTCCCTTGATCCTGGAGGGAAGGATATATAGTCCGATGGGAGTGACATTTCGAGTGGGCAATTCAAATCCCCGGACGCGTCGTAGCTGTGGCTGGCTTGTGATCAAAGTGCCTGTCTATTGGTTGATGGGGCGCAATAGCCGCCAGCAATCACATCAGTAAGAATAAGGCTGAAGACTTAATGAGAAGTCCTCCATTATCCTGCAAAACAACTTTAGTTTGCAAGATGGAAAGAGCATCATCATAAATTTAAAAAAATTGATCTAACAAACAGAAAACGATTGTCCTCAGGCTGTCAAGTGGATTCAGTTGATTTTAAATAAGAACACAAGTTGTTTCAAAGTTTCTGCATTTTCACTTCCAGCAGGCATTCTAACAGTTGTTCAAAAAATATGTACCTGGAATTTATCTGACTCATGAGAACTTCAACCTACATACCACATCCATTTCTTCCCATGATGACCACAGCTCATTTAGCCCACAATTGAGACAAATCTTGGATTGTGAAAAACAGGGCAGCTCACATGTTGGCCCAAAAGTGTTGCCTATTTCAACAAGAAGGGGAGCTCCCCAACAAACCTTACTAATTTCCAGGAGATTAGCAAAGGATTTTTTTGACCAGGTTTGACTACTGATTCCAAACTCAGCAAGGTGTGAACTCCCTTAACAGATAGATGGAGTTTCTATTCAGTCTACACCTAAATTTCCTTCCATCTCTTTGATAGATTCATGAGCTAACCCTACACCAAGAGTATCCTAGTTAGGAAAAACAATGAAGTGAAGTGGAGTGATGCCATGTCATGTTATGTTATGTGGTGATGTTTAGATTTCTTAGTTTCTCACTGAGGACCAAAACGTCTTAGAAAAGGGAAGAAAAGAAAATATGTGCTTGTATATTTGTTTCATGTCTAAAAACTGAATAGAGTCAATTAGATTGGTTTTATTATATCTATGAATTGATAGGTAGAGTAGGAGAGATTAATTCAAAGTGGCGGAAAAACAAGATAAAATACTAGAACCTTTGTTTTAACAAGTCTCTTGTGTGCTGGAGAAACATAGAATTATAAGCAGGATATTTTAAATGGCGGGAAAGAACATTTATGAGGGTTTATTGAAAGTTGAATTCATACAGGAGGAAAATTAGACAAGTGTAAAAGTGAGAAGGGAATCTTACTAGAAAGGATTTGAAGGTGTATGGGAAAACGCAATTACCACAAAGAAGATTGAGTTTAGTACTCATTTGTAATCAAGAAGCTGCATGTATCTGCTAATGGTTAATTCATATAAGGCATTATCAGTATCCCCTAGATCATCCTTCAAGATATCTGGATTCTCTTTGACGATGCAGCTGAAAGCTGCCTCTGCTGCTGAACTTAAATCAAAGTCATTGATGTATGAAGATTTGTAAATATTCAACAGACGAACAAGAGCCAGTTTCACCATCTCCTTGAGCCCGTCCTCATCCTTGGTATCTTTCCAATGCTTGGTGAGTAGATAGATATAGACTACGTGGTAAGGGAAGACTATGTTGTTGATGATTCGATACGATTCTTCTTTCTTGCATTCTTGTGGGATTGTGGCTAGTGCAAGTCTCCGTTTCTTTCGGGACAATTTCGCAATTTTATCTCGGCTTGGAATCCCATCAATCTTCCCTTCCAACTGCGGAAGCTTTGCAAATTCTTCCATCAATTCATCCATGGTAAGATCACCACAGTAAATATTTCCTGTAGAGGTTTCTGGGGAAATCATTCATGATGATTACGGGGATCAAAACAAGACATTTTTTTTAGTGTTTTGTTGGAGGAAACACTTTTTGGTTGATTGTTTGAATTTTCTTCCAGCTAAAAATAAATTCTTCCAAGCCCACTTACTCTTACGCATTCTCGGAAAGATTTTGTCTGTTGATCATCGCCAAGTATCAAAGGCAGTGAATTCAGTAAGAAGCCAAGTGGTCATGCATGATGGGGATGAAAGTCTAAGCTCACAAGCGCGTATTTTCCTTGAAGCAGATTGCCAGAGGCTGGATTGAGGTGAAACTTTGGCCGCGCCAACAGCATCTAGACCAGAAGGAATGAAGAAAAAAAAGCAAGAGAGTGAGACTTTAAGCTGCTTTCGATAGTGGAACAGCAATACCCACTTCTCAACTCAGCTCCTTCTAGGGCTGTCCTTAGCCAATCAGAGATGTCAGAGATGCTCAAGGAATATCAAGCAAGAGTGCATATTTCCTGAACTCACGCTCGATATCTGCTTCCGAATGCGACAGAAGCAACGGGGTGCGATCCACCGATGCCATATGGGGTAGCTCGGCTGAATTGACTAAAGCGCACAGAGCTCTCAGTGCTCCGCAAAGAATGAGGCAGGAAATGATAAGAAGCATAGGTTTGGTTTTAGCAGCGCTGAATTTCTCAGGAAAGCTTGAAAAGTTCCTCATAGTGATTCTCGATTGAGATTTTGCTACCCTTCCGGAGGAATCAGAAGTGAACCTTCCGCAATGTCCAGAGCTCCCTGGGGCTTTTAGATGAAGATTTTCAAAATTAGACCTATGTCGAGGGAGCTATTAAAGTTAAATCGGGACACGTGCGCCTGAAGAGAGTTTTTGTGGATGGACACCGAGATAAATAAGTTGCACTTGGCTCATTTTATAGATTCACAAGGTACACATCTGAACAAGCAAGGTCCTCATTAGCCTTTCTCTCTCAGCAAAACAACCATTCAATACTGCATCCCCCGCCCCGGCAATCCATAATTCAGGCGAGATTGCTGTATCGTTTCGTTCGGGATGCCATCCGTACACGTTGTTTTCTATGTATTCTGGGGGTGTTGCCGATCGTATCAAACACACCTAGACCGGAGTAGGAATCCCCTCCCATGGAAGTTTATGCTGCGCTCTACCATTTTACATGAAGTGTTTAATTACTTCAGTCCACGACGTGCCACTTGCCTTCAGTCAGCTCAAGATCGCTTGACATCACTTTTGCCAATTCGTGATCAAAGACGATAGATTCACAAAAGGTTGTGAGGTCCCATTGCCATAGCATTCTCCCAACACCCTGGCCATGTTTTCGGACGATGCTTGTAAGGATGTCCAAGCCTGGCGCCTATGACATGTCCAGTGGGGGTCGGTCATTCACTCATTGAGAATCGAGTCCGCCATGCCTGGTGGTCAAAAGATGTCAGGAAATAAAGGTATGAACTGGTTGCGCCGGCGCGCGGTAACATGTTTCTCCGGCCGGTTCTTAAGATGCGTTCTGGTGATCTGGATCACAAACGATGGGTAGAAATAATTAGAAATAAAGTTCAACCGGGTTACCGATTTTGGATGTCTCTGACAACGAAACAAACAGGTCACGTCGCATACGAAGGAAAGAGCTCCTATTTTTGTCGACAAAGGTGGAAGTTACAACAAGCCCAGATAAGTCTCGACTCTTCCCCGGCCGATGAGACACAACGTCGCTTACACCTGATTGTGTTGGGTGGATGGGTTGCAATCCAGGCATTGAAACTTGCCTGTTGAAAAGTTTAACTTCCTGCTTGTATCTTTGATATGTCTCAAATTGAGAATTGTCTTATTTATTGACCTTGGACGCACCGATGCAACCTCTCGGCTCTTCTCCGACCGATGGGGCGTATCAATGACAAGCTTGTGCAAGAAACATGGATTAAATTCTTACAAGGTCTAGAGCTCAACCGCTGAAGTCTAATCTCTTTGCCGCATCTTTGATATGTTTCAAAATCTTGTGAAGTGGTCTCACTTCAGCTTGACCTCTATTGTAGCACAAACGAAGCCTCTTGTGGAGACCCCAGGGGAGAAGCCGACCCCGCCTCACATCGCAGTCCGTAGGGAAAATGGGGCTTGCGTTAATAACTTAGGCGGCGGTGGCGAGCGATAAGAATTTGAAGATGCTGCGATTGCAGGCTTATGTTCCCAAGATCGAACCAGCAAGTGTCATTTCGATGTATTTATGCAGACGTTGTGGTCTGGTAACCTTGAAAAAAAGAGGAAGAAACCCCATCAATCAATGGCCTTCTCCAGGGGGCGCCGTAACTGGTCCCAGTGACCGTCAAAATATTGATTTGATCCACGTTCCTGCTACTTATCAATCACATAATTTGTCTTAATTGCATTAGTGAGAGGTAACATGGTCTGTATAAGTATATTTAAGCAGGGAGATGTGGAGAAACGACGAAAACATTCTTTGTTATTTCCTGGCCTACATAGGCGACCCTGGCCCAGCCGCGCAAAAGCTTCTATACTGTCACCCAAAAAAATGGTGGTATATTTAGGTAGATCATTTAGATATCTACAAATCTAACCTTTTTTTTCTTCATCATTTTTAAAGGGGAAAAATGGAAGCGAAATCAGGGGAAGGGTGTAATTCTTCAGTGAGCGAAGCATCCACAACACAAAGAAAGAACAAAAAAACAGAGAGAAAAATGTGACGGAAAAGACCAAAGAGACAAGAGAGCATGAGAGAAAAAACAAGGTTCTAAGGTTGAGTGGAGTTGAGAGGATTAGCCGCGACCCAAGCTTGATAATCGGCATGAAGTCTACTCTGATTCTCCCAATCCTTGAGGAATTTTTTGCGTTTGGACTTGGAGATTTCCTGATCATCAGGGTGAGCATGAGTAGGGACGCCGTTCTGATCGAACCGACTGAATTCCGTTGAGCCCTTAAACATCTCTTCAGGCGGGGTCTTCCCCTTCATCAGCTTCTCGACTTTCTTGCGCTCATTCTCGGCCTTGATCTCCCGCAGTTTCTGCTCCTTCTCGCCTTGGAGCCTCTGTTTCTCTTCACGGGCTTGGAGTAACATGCTTGCTGGCAACAGCTTCACCAACGCCTTTCCATCTATAATCCGGATTTCACACACATAATAACCAATCAACAACTGTGCGAGGGGCGAAGAAGTTGAACGTGGAAGGAGAAATGTGTACCATCTTGGTCGTCCAACGCCACGCCAACTTCGACGAGTTTCTCATCCCGGAGCTGATCACAGGCAGACAAGACCTGAGCAGGAGACAGCTCCGACGAGGCCTGCGCGAGCCGATAAAGCTCGGTCCAGAACTCGTACCATATAGGCAACTGACCCGCCAAACTGCTTTTTAACTATCAATGCCCGACGTGAGTCGCCAAACATTTCCAACGCAGAACAGAAGATAAACTCACTGGCTCAGTCAGGTGATCCAGATGCACTTGTTTACCCCCGAAAAACGTCACCGGATCGGAGTGCTCTGAGCGAAGGAAATAAGGGAAAACAGAAAGCATTTTGATTGGATGAGTGGAGAAGTAATGAACGCGAAAGTGCGATTGGATTGGACACGAGGCTTACCAGAAGCAGAGAGATTCAGTAACAGCAGATGGGCTCGAAACTGTTGCTGACAGAGTTGGTTCAAGGCTTCAGTCAATGGACCCGCGGCAGATGATGCGGGGGGATCAGAGGCGGCCTTCTTCTGCATCTTCTCTCGCGCAGTCTTGCGGGCTTGGTCCCGGAAAGACGACCATTGGATCCAATACTCCATCGCTTTCGACTCGGCCTTTTTTTCAAAGAAAAAGAAAGAATAAGAATGGGATGAATGTGATCAGGGAATGCTTTCATGAGTGAGTCACATGATCTCTTCATCGTGGGAGAGCATGCAAAAAAAAGGAAAAAGGTTCGGAGAGAAAATGAACCCACTGGATCACAGACGTTCCAGCCAATAAGATCAGAGCTCCCCCGGTTATTGGTTGTAGAAGAACGGGGATGACTAGCAAGCGTCTGTTCGTCCAATCCAAAGACCCTCAACATCTTACTGATCCAGGCCGCGATGTGAGAGATGACGAGGAGACTTTGGCCATCAGGCTCGGCTCTGATCGAGGCGATTTGCGCAGAGATATATTTGTTAGTCTCTGTCACCAGATTGAGCAGTTGTTTCATCGCTTCAGGGGTGTTGAACGAGTCGCAGAGAGCTGCATGGAAGTCCGATCGAGCATTCTCGAAGCTAATGTGGTGTGTTGTCAGTAAAGCCGTCCGGATGTCGATTTGCAATCAGCTGGAGACTCTTACATGGCGTGGAGAGGATGAGAAGTGTCAACGGACTTGGACTGATCCAAGTCAATGGCCTGGATCATCTGTTCTGTCGATCGCTCATACCTCAGAGCTTTAACAACCGCAAAGAAGTTCTATCTTCATAGCAAGAAATAGACCAGAGCAACCAACAAGCATCAATGATTCCATGAACGAGTGTAGGGGCTAGCTTCTGGGGAGCCCAGTAAGACGTTGATTGCTCCTCGGGGTAAAAAGGGAGAGGCTGTCAACTAACTCACGTTGAACGTCGATTCTTGGTTCCTCACTTCAGCCATCGCACTCTCGGCGAAATCCATGCCAAGGTCCCATCGTTGGGCAATGAAAGAGAGTCGTAGCTGTCTAGCTGAGTGTTGCTTCAGTGCATCCTAAATATAAAGAAATTCCTTGTCAGGAAAAGTTGGTGTGAACCGGAGAGAGAGAGAGAGAGGCAAGACAAAGAGGTACCCCGATCGTGATAAAGTTCTTCAAAGACTTGGACATTTTTAATCCTTCGATGTGGAGGTGGCCGGTGTGAAGGAAGTAGTTGACCCATTGAGGGCAATTGTGGTAAGCCTGAAAGGATCAGGAGGCTTTAAGTTCTTGTGATCAAGCAACGCGAGCTTGGGTATCGACCGACGTACCTCAGACTGGGCCATCTCGTTGTCGTGATGGGGGAACATGAGATCGACACCACCACTGTGGATGTCCATGCCGTCGCCCAAGATGGCGCTAGCCATGACTGAGCATTCGATGTGCCAGCCGGGCCTGCCCATACCCCAGACGCTCTGCCAGCCAGGCTCGCCCGGCTTGCTCTTCTTCCAGAGGGCGAAATCCGCCGGCGAGCGTTTGACGTCGGTGGCCGTCGAGCTAGCCGGGTTCACCGAGAGCGCGCCTTCGCCCTCTTCCATCAGCTTCTTGTTCGCCTTCGAGCCCGGCTGCAGTTTGGCATAGCAGTGGCTGAATGTCTGCTGGCTGGGATGGTCCTTCACCTCGGCCCCATCAAACGCATTCACGTCGAAATATACACTTCCTTCGTGCACGTATGCGAACCCTCGTTCCACAATCTTCTGAACATATTCAACGATCTCTTCCACGTAATCTGACACCCTAGTTAAAACACTTGGAGGCTCGACACCCAATGTGGCCATATCATCGAAGAACGATTTTTCCCAGTATACCGCCAGTTTCTTGAAGATCGCATGATCGGTGATTGTTGAGCCGTACTTTTTAAATAAAAAAAATAGCAAGTCAGACAATTCAAAGAGGATTTGTCCAGATCAAAAGGGAGGACGGGGAACTAACTTTCTGATCCAGCCACTTTGAGAGCACTTCAGACGCCCCGTCAATCAATCTTTCAGCCTCAGCGCGAGAGTTATCGATCGACATGTCCGATAAACAGATGGCTCGGCCGAGGGCTTTGTGCGCTGATCCCTATGACATCATAGAAAGAGATCAAGGTTAGATCTCGATAGATTTTTAAGTGCATGAAAATGGACATACCAAGGCTTCGATCCACATCCCAAACTTTTCTTCCTTTGCCACCATCTCAGCTTTCCATTGAAGTTGACTAGCAGCCTTCTGAAGGACTTCCTCGAGTGAAAGCTCGTTCCCTAAGAGTTTCTTGACCGTGTTGTTTGCGTATGATTCCAAGCTCTGTCGGACTTGGTCAGTCAATTCGGGGGTGATCAGGTCGGCTTTGGAGCGCAGATTCTCGAGCAAATGTTGTTGCCTTGCCCGTTGGATGATCTTGTCATCGATGTCTGTCACATTCATCACAAACTTCACATCGTAAGCGAAGTAATCTCTTGCGATCCTTCGTAAGATATCTTGAGTGACATAATTCCTGTTTCAAAAAAAAGGTTGTTTCAATTATCAAGATTTTCCTCTTTTTAATAGGGCGGAGCATAAGGAAATCGTAGATACCTGGCGTGTCCCATATGACTGGCATCATATACGGTCGGTCCGCAGTTGTACCAAGTGATTTTATTAGGTTCTTTAGGAATAAACGGCACCTATGGAAAGCGTAACAAGGAAATCAGCCGAATGGTACAACTTCTTAGACAGGTCTGGTGGCGGCTTACCTTTGACTTGGTGAGTGAATTATAAACTCTGAGATTTGAGGACACTTCTGCCCCGGACGGCTGGCTTTGTTGGGGTGCTCTCCAGTTGGTTGTGGTGCTCATGGTGATCGAGGAAGTCTTGATGAGTCTGATGGTATTTCGGTTTTGGTTGAGGATGTTGGTTCTGTTGGTCTTGAGTGGGTTGGTAGTGATGAGCTGGAGTGAGGCTCTTCGTAGTAAGTTCATACACTTTGGTCTTGCTTTTTCTTTTTCTTCTTCTTTCGGTTGGTGGTCCTGCTCCGTCGTTTGGCGTCCGGTGGTAGTGTACCAGTACAGCCGCCGCATACACCCAGAAAGTGAACAGTCCACCCGATTACCTGATATGCAGACCCCCCGGGGGGCCACACCAACACCCCAATTATGTACCGAAACTTGCACTCAGCAGGAACCAATCCACATTTCAACCACTTCGATCCATCCGAGCAAGAGATGTCCTCCTCAAAGTCCTCATCGAAACTGATGGTAAAGTACATCCACCACTCAAAACATCCACCCTCAAAAATCAAAACAAACAAAAAAAGGAAATGACTGATCGGGGAACTCCATACATGCAAACCGATTCAAACAGTTCAAAGGAGAGAAGAAGGAGAAGAAGAAGCACAAGAAACGACGAAGAGATGAGAAGGAGTCGAACGAAGACGGTCCAGGAAGCTCCGAGCCCAGCGAAGGCTGGCTGAACCCACCCAGCCAAGCGCACATCCTGGGACCGTTATATATGATCTGTGTGCAACCGACGTACGGGAATGTGCTCGAGACGAAGCCGTGTGCGATCGGGATCCAGCCGTCGCCGGTGACGCCGATCGCCAAGGTGGTCCCGGCGCCGCTCTCAGCGAGCGCCCTGGCGAGCCTCGAGCCCGACGAGGTCAACCACGTCATGGTCTGCACCAGGGTGATCGACAGCGACGACAAGGTGACCCTTCGGACGGCCACCGGCCGCTACCTTGCCGCCGACCAGCTCGGCGCCGTCTCCGCCGAACAAGAGGCCCGTGGCGCCCAGGAGGAATGGGCTTTCGAGCCCCTCGCGCTCCCCGAGGACCAGCCCTCGGGCTCGACTACCAACCCGGACGGCCACCAGAGCCCCCCCGACGGCCTCTTCGCCCTCAAGTCTTGCCTCTACAACAAGTATCTGACCGTCGAGGAACTCGCATCCGGAAAGCTCGACATCCGATGCGACTCTGACTCCCCCGCTGACGATTGCTCTCACATCCTCGTCAGGATGCAGGCTGGCGAACTCGTCAAGGCGAAGAAGAGGCTCGCAGACGAACGGGCTAAGAAGGGCCTCTCTGCTAAATCCAACGAGTCCGGCCTCACCATCCTCAAGCCGGGGCAAACCTTCCACGACCTCGAGGCTAACAATATGTGAGCCTTCTTTTCCCTCTCCCTCTCAAACATCTAGCCCCTTCCTGAAAAACTGAAGCTTATTGATCTTTGTCCATTTCTTCAGTCGCCAATATCAAGCAAGAGGTGCAGGCCGATTACAACTCCCATCCGAAAGCAAATCCGGGCTAAAGAAAGCAAGGAAAGAGGGTCGACTGGCCGAGGAACTACTCGACCGACGCTCCAAGCTGAAGAGCGACCGGTATGCTAAGGTACAGTCTCCTCCTGCTCCGTGTTAGCATTTGTACTTTCACCCAGTTCGCCACTGACCAATAATCCCTTTTTTTTCAGTGATTTACTCTCCATAATCTCTCCGCACTCCGATGAAATCATAGTGTGCCCTCTGATTCCGGAAAAACGTTGCTATTTCTAAAGAAAAAATGTAACTCTATATTATAAATCAATTCATCATTGTGAATGATGATGATCAAGATCCTTTCTGTAAGTTCCAGGAAAGCCAGCTTCAAGCAGCATCCATGATCCTCTCCGTCTCCCCGACTTATCAATCCTAGGCAATAAAGTCAAATAAGTTTTTGGCAGACATGGTTATCATATGTAGCTTCGAACCGAATTCCAACAGACTAGTTCGCTGCTTAGAGCTCAACTCCGTATATGATCCGATGCCTTCTTCACCGCTCAATCCTCGTTTTGATAATTTCTTGAGAAGAAGTCTGGATAATTTCAAGATTGGTAGGATGTGTTCAGCCAGCTCTCTCTGAGTATCTGACAGCTTGAATCTCTCGAGCTCTACTACTAAAGCCGAATCAATGGAACGCATATAGGACATCCAGCCGTGTTGAACGATGTCAAGTTCAGACCCTTCTATCCATTCAATCAGACGCTGGGTTGCCTCGGAAGAATCAGCTGTACAATGGATTATTCTGGCCCTGATCCAATGCGGCTCGTCGGGGAACTTGGGCTCGTCGGATGAGAGTTTCAGGTGTAGGATGAGGTCCTCGGAATTGCTGAAGAGTTGTTGGTTTCGTAGCGCCAAATCTTGGATCCGTTTCTCTAAGCCGATCTTCCTAACGTCTTTGAAGTCACGAAGGTGGCCGTCATCAACTCGGGATTTTGAAGATCTTTGGGGGGCATACAGGGATTTTACGAAAAGCGGCTTTGATTTGATCTAGACTCTCGCGGATTCCGGATAGGATCTCTAAGATGAGCTCGAGTGTAGGGCCTGGCTGGCTCCGCAAGAGGGATGGGTCTAGTGATTCTGAAAGACTCGTAATCTGCTGGCTTAGTTGGAATCGATTAGGCCAGTGGAACCGGTCCAAGCTGCTCTTGGAGTCAGGTGGATCAGGATGATACTCGGTTTGATGATCGAGTGGATCGACTTGATGATTCGGACGATTGTCTGGATAGTCAGGGCGAACGTTTGTAATCAGGTGGTCATCACCAAGAGCTCTGAACGATTTGATGACCAAATCTACGAAAGGGTTTTTTTTTCTCTTGCGGCGTCAGCTTAATATAGTTTGTATGATTAGTTTAGAACCGGATCGCCAAAGACTGTGCACGTACATACCACCTTGCCGACGAAGCTGGTCTTCCTCTGAGACGCTTAACGTTAGACCGTCCAAACCCCTGTCGATGGTGTCAGCCATTATTTCGTCTGAAGTTCTTCGACAAAACCATTTTGATGGATCTAGCCGGCTTTCACCAGCCGCAGAAGAGGCGGTACCCGCAGCGGTACCCGGGTATGTACCGCCCCTATTTTTGCCAAAAAACCGGCACCCGGCAACATGACGTACATATGTAGACGAAATAAATACATTGTTTTTTTTTCATATGTATTGTAATTATAAACAAGAGAGAGCAAAAAAAAGAAAAAGAATACAAGTAAAAGAAGCAAATAAACAAACAAAGCGATCAAATTAATGAGAGTGTTAGAGGTGTAATTTGTCTATGAGTGAGTGTATGAGAGTGTAAAGGAATCAATCCTAAATCCCAAAACCAAAAAAACCAAAACCAAAAACCAAAAACCAAAAATAAAAATAAAAATAAACAAGCCAACAACCAAAGAAAAAGAAGAAAAAGAAGGTACAGAGGACAGGGCTCAATTGTGGAGAAGAATGAGGGGATCCAACTGGTCCAGCTGATGATTGAAAGGATCGAGTTGGCCATCGAGGTCGTGCTGCTTGAAAGCAGAAGGCGAGAGCAGTGCTGAGGGAAGATGAGTCTGATCGAGGAGGAAGAGGTCGGAGAGCCGATGGAGATGGGAGTTGAGGAGCCTGGCGAGGACGATGAGAGAGCTCAGATGGCCGGGCAGGAGAGCCAGATCAGCGCCCGCCGCCTTCGTCTCATCATCATCCTCATCAACATCAACATCGGTCGATGGACGATCCGACGGACCGGAATGAGAAGGATGATGCTGAGAAGAAGAAGAAGAAGAAGATCGAAGGTGCTTGAGTCTCGAAAGAAGGACGAGAGAGTGGACGATTTCCTCGCGATGTTGGAAGAGATTAGCCTGATAGACCGATGCAGGAGACGCGGCGGTGCCCAACAAGTCCACTCTGAACCTGCCCCCGCGGCCGCTTGGTGTTGTTCCGGAGGGGAAAGAGTCGAGCGAGCCCGGACTGACGGGACACTGGTGGCTGTAGATGTACGAGGAGCTAAGACTATGGACGATGGTCGCGTTGACGGAGCGGGGCATGGAGGAGCTCGGACTTTGAGGATCGAAGCTGGAGTGGGGCCGGAGGGTGGACTCGTGGACGACCCAGACCGGCTCGGGCCCTCCGCCCAGCTTCTCCACCCCGCCGCCCCCGCCGCCCTCCTCGACACCCTCCGCCCGATCGCCCACACCCTCCTCCCCCTCCTCCGGCCCCTCCACCTCCCCCATCTCCAGATCCGACGCCCCCTCGCCTCCTCCGCCACCCTCCGTCACACTTTCACGTCTCGTCGTACTCAGCCTCGTCGTCGATGGCCCTTCTCCCGCCCCGACCCGTCGTAACATCGGCACGTCGCTCATCATCACCGAGGATAACGTCACATGGAACGCTACCTCCGACGCCGGCAAGGTTTGCGAAAGTAATTCACACCATGCTGTGATTATGATTCCATCAAAAATCAGTCTCTCCCATCTTTCTAACCATTTGATAAACCGAAACCAAGCTCACCTTCATATTCTATGGGCTTGATCCGACCCAATTTCGTGATCACGACTCTCCATTCCACATTCGTAGACAAGATGATCTTGCGAGAGACCTTCCAAACAGAGCTGACGATCTGCATTTCCAAGCGATGCTCGTCGAGCTCGCGCGACAATGAGGCTTTCTGTTTCTGAGCGGGGGCATGAGAGGGAAGGGAAGAGTCGGAGGAGGCTGGGCTGGCAGGAAACTTCAATACCAACTGATGTTGTTGACCTAGTTCGTCGACCATGCTGACGAGCACCCAGGCGCGTTGCGGGCCAACGAGGTATCCAATGTGGAGCATCCTGTGTCGCGCACTCACGTCGATCCCACTTGGCGGCCAGCGGATGTTCAGTTGGGTAGGCTTCTGGATCCCGGTGAGGAAGAAGGCATGGCCGGAGAGTAACTTGCGGTCGGATGGTCGTCTATGCCGGCTCCGACCATCTGTCCTGGGCTGTTTGTGTTCGTCGGTGGAATGGTGCAGTTGGCCCGCTCGATCCGGCAGCTCTCCTGCATCGCTGGAGGAATCCTCCGACTCAGAGGGGGGTTGACACTCGCCTGGACGGATGGGTGCTGGGGTGAGATAGGGATCAAAACTCAAGCCGGGGGCCGTGAACCGATGGACGTGGATCTTCATCGAGTCGTACAGTCGCATTGCAAAGCTGATCAGACTCGCCGGCCGGTCATCTAAGAGCTGGTGGCGTGAGATCAGCAGCCGAGTCACCGGCCTCCCGTCTAGTCCCACAATCTCTCTCTCACCTACTCCCAGACTCTTCATCTCTTCCAGCCCGTCGACAATTATCAAACAGGTATGTCGAGAAATCTTGTCTCCATCGATCTCTCCAATCATCCCCTCTATCTCCTTCTTCAACTCCCCAGATCTATACTTACTTTCGTGTATCTTTCCGATCGAGAGTTCGCCTAGCCTACAGGACTGTAAATCCAAAACAACAATCAAACATGTTTCTTTTTTTTTTTTTTCAAACACATAAAAGGATGTAAAACTGACCTTGTAAGTGTGAGCCAATTCGAGTAACCAATGGTGAATAGAAGGAAGATTGAGGTGTGAGAGAGGATGCTTATCCTGTTGACTATTCACAAACAAGGTCTCAGCTCCGGAGTCAACGAGGGAAGGGTCCTTGGAGTTTGTCTTGGGCTGATGTGCATGGCGAGGAAGGGGTCTGGGAAAGATGACGGAGAGGACAGAGTCACGTTGGCCACTGACGGGTTCAAAGCCGAGCTTGATCCAATATTTAAACAGTTGGGAGATCAGGGAGAAGGCGATCTTCTGCTTGCCTTCATTGATTTTAACGACGATCGAGGCGGGTGCCTTGGTGAATTTTTTGATCAGATAGGGCCGTTGATCCCCCTCTTCTACCTCTTTGACTTTCATCTGTTGTTTCCCAAGCTTCTTCTTTTCTTCTTTCTCTTCTTCCTCTTCTGCTTTCTTCTTCTGAGTAGTACTATTTTGGGTTCGGTTTTCTTGAATCTCGTATTCATCATCCACCAGAGGTCTGTAATAATCAAATCCATTGATGATCGGCATAGAAGCCAAATCCAAGACGACTCTATAATCTTCAGTAGTCTTCCTGGTATCATTCGTCGTAACTTTCGGTGAGGATGTTGAGGGTAAGACGGTTTCTAGCAAGACTTCTAAATTCGGGTCATGTTCAAGTTGGGTAGCCAGTTGAGATACCCAATTTTTCAACTTTTTCCTGACCGCCGGGGGGATGTGTTTGGGCTTGATCGTCCGATCTTCGGGGGAGAGATTCTGAGGAGGTCGAGAACTGTGGTTGGATGATGGCTGAATGGAAAAGAACTTAGAACGATACTGGATCTCCAAGACGTCTTTCAGGCTTCTTTCGATCTGTTCGATCTTTGCCGCGATCGCGTGTTGATATTCGCGATCGATGGCCATGATTCTCTCGTCATCAGAGGAGCAGGAAGAGGTAGTCGAGGAGTACGATCCTCGATCTCGGGCATCGATCGACCGAATAAATTCATTCCCATCCGGCTCGTCCTCGTCTTCCGAGAAGGTCGAGCCATCAGAACTATCATTCGAAGATCCAATGGGTACCCATGAACGTGGTGTTGCGGGTGACTCGGTGTACCCGGTGCCCCCCTGGGTGGTTAAAGCTATTGCAGAGCTCGTCAGCGGCTCAGCACGGCTAAACGACTGTTGTGAGTCGCTAGTCCGGAAGGCACTGTTGAACAGCGTCCTTGCAACCTTCGCCCGAGGGTCGATCGCACGCATCAATTTCTTTGAGACGTGCACCAGGAGCGGTCCACGGGCTCTTCTCAAGACTTCCTGGTCTACGATATCCAGCGCATCGTCTCCCTGTTCATCTTCTGGGCTGCTGAAGGAATGCGGCGAGGGAGGCAACGCGTATTTGCCACCACGACGGGTATAATGATCATCGACCACAGTATGAGTGTGGCTGAAACGAACCGATTCATAGCCCACCGGCTCAACAAAACGGAACAGTTTGTCCGATGGACCTGAATCGGAGGACGACATGAGTGATAGAGTTCTGAGGGCGTTCTCAGAGATAGCCAACTGGTCGGCTTCAGATGGGCCGGCAGGATCAGTGGTGGTCGAGTGATGATTCTGATTAATCGGTGAGCTGTAATGAGCAGTTTGAGTAGATGGATGGTTGTTGTTGTTGTTGTTGAAGTTGTTGTTGAAGTTGTTATTAGCATCGGGAGTAAAGCCATTGAGACGGCCAGGGGTGAGTCCCGAGATCGAGACCGAACCAGGGGTGGGCTGTTCAAACAAATTGGTATTATATGAGATTGTCGAGGCTGTTGAACCAGATCCAGATCCCTGCTGAGCACTCACGAACTGGTAACTGGTAGTACCCGGCTGGCTTGAGGGAGCTAGGACGACACTAGAAGATTGATGAAGAGTGTCATTGCTCAGTGGTTGTTGTTCGTCTCTGATGACGGTGGATATTGAGCATTCTTCTTGTGGTTGTGATGTAGGAGGATCGGGCAAGTTGGTAGCGGTCGAGTCATGATAGATATCCATTCCGTTCTCATCACTCAAACCGTTCGAAGCAAAATCAACGGTTGCGGAGTCTCCCCGGTCAGAAGCGGTGACGATACCGCAATCGAAGGGGATGATAGAGGGCGGGAAGATGGTGGAGTTCTGACTACTCGAGCGGTCATCGCCATCGTCTCTTAGCCGTTTCTTTGACATTCGGGGAGTGATGAGATGAGGCGGAACGGGCGATGCACGAGCGGTTGAAGTCGAGGTGTGACGCTGGAACCTGGGAGAAGGGTAGCCCGAGCCTCTGCCTCGATTGAGTCCCAGTCCTGCACGTCCGCCGGTCATCGAGGGAGGCGATTCGGTTTTCTGGGGTGTCTTCTCCTTCCCAGCCGCCGCGGCTGCTCGACGTTGAAGTTCACGCTCTTGAGCAACCCAATCGATGTAAGATCCGGCATTCTCTGCCAACTCATCCGTGGGCTCGTAGGCAGATATCATCAAGGAGTTGGCCAACCTCGCCCGGGGGAAACATATTCTGGACGAAGGCGTCAGACTAGCGGGTGGATCGGATTCTGTAGGAGGAGGAGGTGGATTTTGCTCGGCACTTTCGATCCAGCTTTCCAAGTCGAGTAAACAATGATCGACGGGCCAGACCAGTTCGATTTCTTGACTATCATTGGTTTCCGGATTGACTGCTTCCGAGTTGTTAGTAGTAATCTTGCAAACCACCCAACTCTCAAAGTTCCGTTGGTTAGCATTGGTAGCCGAAGTTGGGTGAGTTTCGGGGTAAGCTTCCATGAAGGGTGCGGCGAGCCGCCAAGTTTGTTTGAGTTTCTCAAAATGTTTCAATTCGGCACGGCAGATCCGTTTCTGCTGTGAAATCCAAGATGCATTGGGGATTGAGGGGGAGTCAGAGAGCCATGAGGAACGAGTGCTTGAAAAGTTGGACGATTGAGAGCTTGTTCCTGATTTGCATCTGACCAGAGAATGGTTGAATCTTCCAAACATCCTGACATACTGAGCTCGGAGATTTGGGAAAGGAGCGAGGATGAGAGGGAAGCCGGGTGGTATATTGTGCTGGGGGAGGGGTGGCATCGGGGCCAGACGCCGAGCGGTGAAGCTGGGCTGGCACATTGCAACCCGAGAGCTGAGCCAAGATTTCAATTCGACCACGAGAGCCGGTGCAGTAGTCAGGATGGCACCCATGAGTCGAGTTGAGTCGCGATTCAGGTTACGATAGAGGTGCTCTAAGGAATCGTCCCGTGGGACGGAGAGAAGGCGATCGGGACCCCATCGAATCCAGCGAGTTGGACAGGCACCAGGAAAGGGGGTCGAGTCGGGGGATTGGACTGCAAGAGTGATGATGTGCTGGTTGAGGGCTCGTAGGAGGTTAGCGTAGGCAGGTATCGTATTTGTTTGACTCGAATCATCCACAAGAAAATCGTTAGCGGTCCTATTCTTGGCCGGATGAGAAAGATGTGGCAGGAGAGGCTTTGAATTTGAGGTGGTAGAACGAGTGAAGAGATTTGGAAAAAGTTGTGAATACGATAGAACGCCGTATGAGATGACTGTATGAAAAAATAGTCAGTATCAAATGTATCATTCAATAAAAAATAAAAAAAGGACTACTAACCGGATTGACATGCTTTGATTGGAGATGGCTGATTGATGATCGGAGTATGGTTTTCAAAAGTTTGATAAGTTTTGAGTATTGGATCGATTAGAGGAGGAGGTTGCTCGTATGATTGCTTTGGGCCGAGTCGACCGGGGATCTCATAGACCCAAACAACCAATCCCTGAACTGATTGTTGTCCCTCTGAGTCAAATACGAAATGGAGTCTGAGGGAATGAAGTTGGTTGGCTATCTGAGGTTTTAGTTGATCGTGTGAGGCTTCTTGTTGTGCTACCAATGATAGTTTTGCCCAGCGGATCTTCCATTCATCTTGTTCGAGGTGTGAGACTGAAGAGTGGGTCTGATCGAGTTCCTCATCAATGGTGGCTAGGTTGGTATGATCTCTTGCAGGAGAGTTGGGTAGTCCGGTGTTGAGGAGTGGAACTTTCCATTTACATGGGGAACAACCACGCCATGGGTTTAATTCGATGGCTGATGGTGAGAAATATCCGGCGGCTTGAGGGCCACCGAGCCCTAGTTGTTCGTCCGGTGGGAGTGAGCTTTGTAGGGTTGAGGTGGAGGGGGAATGGATGTGGCGGATGTGAGTTGATGAGTTTGGGTTGTTGGTATTTGATTTTGAGAATGATGAAGAAGTGGGTGTTGTTGTTGGTGTTGTTGTTGATGAGGTTGATGGTTGAGGGTGATGATGAGGATGATGAGGATGAGGATGTTGTTGTTGTTGTTGTTGCTGCTGCTGCTGTTGCTGTTGGTGAGCTTGAGTTTGATTGTTGGTGAGTGATAGTAAGGGGATGGTTTGAGATCGTTCAGGATTGGGTGGTTTGGGTAAACTTGGATGGTGAGGTAGGGTGAGATTGGTTCTGAAGGATGACTGTCGATAGTTCCTACGGTTTGAGTCACGATGATGGTGGTTTTGACGATGCTGCTGCTGCTGCTGCTGATGATGATGATGTCGGTTTGATTGATTGGTTGTTGTTGAGACTGTTTGTGGTATGATAGGTGGTGGTGGTAATGGGAGTGGGCTTCCGTTTGGGATGAGTTGAGCTTGAGATCTGAGGTAGTTTGGAGAGTGTTGTTTGCTTGAGGATGAGTTGTTCTTCTGTAGCTGTCGATGGTGGATGAGTGGTTGAGGGTAGGATGGGTTGGTTTGTAGTCTGGGTGTGAGTTGTTGTTGTTGGTTGGCTGGATTGATTGTGTTCTGCTGGTAGGCTTGATGATGATGATGATGATGATGATGTAGTAGTGAGTGCTGTTGCCGATGGTAGTTCTGTTGCTGTTGTTGGAATAAGAACTGCTGGTGTTGATTTTGATACTGAAGTTGTTGCTGTTGTTGTTGAAAGTGATACTGTTGTTGTTGTTGTTGCTGTTGGTAGAATCTGTTGTTGCTGTTGTTGTTGCTGTTGTTTGAGTTGTAGTTCTTTGAGTTTGAGGGTGAGCCAGGTGACATCGGAGAGGTTGGTGTTGGGTTTTGAAGGGTTTTTGGTTGGAGTCGGCTTGGCTTATTATACTCGATCATCGATCATCGGACAGTATTGTCCCCCCCCCGGGGTGTCAAAAGAGCCCCGGCGTCCACTGGACGATGATGCAACTTTTATGTCAAAAGAGACTACTTGGCTCATTTGATGATGAATATGTACAAAGCACCCACCAACCTCAGAGAAGCAAACCTGATCAAACACACACACCTCTTTTAGATATGCATTGTCCTCAAATCTGCGATTTTCAAGCATTAATGCTCGACTTTTCCGTTTGGGGGGCAAATATTCACTGAGTGGCCCCCAGAAGCACCCCGACCCCGACCGGAGGACGATCGACGATCGCAGACATCCAGATCCCAGCTGTGAGTCTGAAATCCACCCCATTCAGATTCATAGACTTGCAACCTGAACCAGCACCCCAAATCCAACGTGCAGCAGTATACTATGGAGGCATTAGCGCGCCATTTTGGCCAAAAAATCAATAAAAATGGTACCCAAGTGCCAAAATGGCCACATAAGTGCCACTTTTCTACAATACAGCGCTTCTCAACTGCCAGCTCAAATGGCGAAGAACAGTTTGCAACTGCCAAGATTGGCAACCAAGCAACCAAGCTGCCATTTCACGCCTCTGAGATGCCAAGCATGGCACTGAGGGACCATTTGCGCCATCCATCCATCATCCAAGCTTCTGGCAACCTTCGGCTCTCCTCATCATTCATACAGGATACCAGACTCGACCCCATAGGCATCCTGACCAGTGAAGCGTACAGCACCTGGTCAATTTGTGGGTGATAACATTATATGCATACCTGTTCGAGTCTAAGACATTGGCTTCCCCTCACAACCACTCATCATAAGCTTAATAGATCTCCGACATCACTAAAGCATCAGCAGCCTGCATTACACTAAGAAGCAACTCTCCAACAGCACCCTCCAGTAGCCTCCAAGTCGCCAGATTTCTTCATTGCAAGCCATGTCATGTATCCAGTGTGGCAACACCCCTACCGTGCTGGGGGAGTACTGCCTAGAATGTGTCCGATCTGTTAAAGTCAAGCAACAACCTGCTTTCCAGCCCACCATTTCACCAACCCCTACCAGTGATTCAGTCACCGAAGCTATGAGAATCAAGAGGGAAGAGGCCATCAACCTGGCCCGAGGTTTATATGGTATACCAACCCCATCTGCTGGATCCCTTTCTGTCCCCAGCTCTATGAAGCCACCACCACCACCACCGGTTCACAGTAATCTGGGTTTGTCTTCCTATTTACTAATACCCACATATATGCAAAGCCTTGAATTATTCCATTTCTCTTCCAGTGCTGCCACAGAACCCCGATTTTCCCTATGCCTCTGCCAGAGCACAAAGGAATTCAGCCTGCAAGCCATATTCAACCACCCGTCCAAGGCTAGTGATCAAGCAATCTGCCTCTGGCAAAGGAGCCATCCCACTCGAGAATCCTCCCTACCGGGTCTCTGTCCAATGTGGATTCGAGGTGAGACACAAGAACAAATGGGTCTCCAACCAGGCGCCAATGCGTGTGGCTACCTGGATTTTCCCTGGCGACCCCAACGCACATCAAGCCTTACTTCTCGAGCTCACAAAAAGACACGAGGGGAAAATGCAGCTCCAGATCAAAAACTACGATGGTCGGCTATTTTTTTCTGAGAAGCACTTCCCATTCTGCCGCCTTGGTACACGAAAAGGATCAGTCATCGACCAGGAGGGATTCATTCAATTCCTCAAGGAAAACAAGGCAATAGATCTACTCTTGGAATACGATGAGTTTGAAGACCACAAAGAAGATGAAGAAGAGGCATGTGGCATGGAGACCCAGTCTAGGCAATATGCCCTACGATCAGCCACCTCTGCTTCCTTCAACAGCCGGGCAAACACACCTTCAGTTGGGTCCACCTTGGCGATATCAAACGATCGAGAAGACTCAACTTTCTCACTTCCAACCATTACCACCAAACCTCCGGTCATAACCCGAGAGAACTCGCCTGATATTGTGGTTGCTACGTCTGCAAATCAAATTGGTCTTGGCTCAATAAAAACGCCAGTGGATTAAGCGTTGGAACCTGTGGTTATCTACAAAAAGTCACCCCCATGTAAGTAATGATTTACACATATAGCTAGTTTATTTCTCATAATAATGTGGGTCTTTTTCGTTCTACAGGGTTGGCACCAGCAATTCTTGACCTGAAGGATCTTTCTTGGGACCGGTTTGGAACTCCGGAGCACTCGAGCACCTTTCGTGGCCATGACGATACTGGCTGGGCCAATGGACTTCGTAGTCAACTTGATCCCGATGGTCTATACATCACCTTGAGGATCTGCTCATACCGTGTGCACTACAACCAGGTCGTCAGAATAAAGGATACCAGCAAAATAATCCATGCTGAGATACTGGACTCCGGGGTGATCTATCCCATGGTAGCTGAATACACGTTGGTTCGGAAAAATCTCCGCCAAGCAAATGAATCGTATGAGACGGAGCCCAACTACGCCATGAGGACTTATGCGGTTTCTTGGCAGTTCATGGCCCTTTTCTGCAAAGTGATTGGGTCATCCAAGGCCTCCTCAGATGAAAGACAATTGGCCTCGACCCTACGAGTGAGTTATCTGATCCAGTGGCTCATTATTTTCCAAAAATTCAATTTACTCATCCTTTTCTGGTTGCCGAGGTCAATAGATAATTGACGGGTTCCCAGTTCACGACGATGTCGAATGTGGAAAAACCAACGAATGTTTTGATTACTTCCAGGAGAATGACATGATTGATGGACCTGGTTCAGGGGATGGTAATGGTAATAATACGTCCAACATCAAGGAACCTTTGGATAATGAAAAACCTCGCCGGGTATTCTTCTTCCAGGAAAAAATCAAGGGATATCGCACTCTCTTGCCGCCTATGGCCAATGACTATGGGATCTCGAATGCCTCCAGCCCGATTGACAAGATCTTGCATGCCTTTCAACACTGGGTATATGTATCGACCAAGGGCCAGATGATCATAACCAATCTCAAAGGAAATCCTCCATTGATCACCAAGCCAAAGGTCATCGATGTCAATCCCAGGTGAGCAGACCAGGAAGAAAAACTGAGGTCACAAGAGCTTTCTAATTTTTCCAACTGCTTTCATTGTAGGTCTTATTGGTATCAATGCCAAGATACAAAAGCGATGATGGCCCATTTCCTCAAGAAGCACACATGCACGAACTTATGCCAAGTGTTGGGCCTTCCACCATTGGTAGAAATTGTGTGGACCCCAACAGCCAAGTCCTTAAGGCCGCATCAAGAATACGACCTCAATAACATCAATCACAACTCAGCCCGGCCCCAAATGACTAGTGATCAGTTGGATCTCCTTGCGGTAGTCAGACAGGGTCAGAAAGCCCTTGTGTCCAAATTATTCTAGTTTTCCATATTTTGTCATTTGCATCACACATCTCTTTCACATGCCACTTCATTTGTTTTCTCATTTGGCCTTGATTTCCAAGTTCAATTAGTTTATGCAAGAAATAAATTTCGTGAAATATTATGTCTTGTTTGCAAAGGTCCTGATAAATTTATTGCAAATTGGATAAGGTATCACAATCATTCTCATTGAATGCACAAGTCTGGGGCTTCAAATAAATGTGGAGCACCACTGGAGATAGAAGAAAATGACAAGAGACTGAGGAAACTGGCAAGATATTCATTTCGGTTAAAAAATGCACAAACTACAATCTACTTTAAGTTTTTTTTTGTTTTTCTGCAGTGGCTAATATATAGTTTAAATCACCGTCATGCATATTTAAATATGCTCCTTCTTGAGTTTTAATATTCTTGAAAACATTGACTGTCTTTTTGTTTAGCTGCAACGAAAAAGCCAAGCGATTAAAGGTTGAATTGGGTTGTGAAAACATGGTGAAATGCTTGTAATCAGTAGACCGCCAGACCATTCTCGCTACCCCATCCAAGTTCTCAAAGCCTAATCCGAACCGACAGTCTGGAAACACAAACTCGCCACCAACAACATTGAACCCCTCAGCATGAGTAGCAACCTTACCAGTCTTCGCAAAAGTTGGGATCCATTGGACATAGGCAAATTCTGAAACATCTTGATTGTCTGTGTGAGGTGAATTGTAAAATCCACCGTATGTATAGGATAGAGAACTCGCTGCTGAAAAATTGTTTACTTCGAGATCGTCTAGGGTTGCATCACCAAAAGAGGGCATGTCGTATTCTACCATGATGTCATGGTTCTTTGCAAAAGCATTGTCGGCTAGATCCTTGAACGATTTGCCGATGATGACGCCAGCTTGATGTCCCCGTCGAACCACAGAGGTGAAGCCATGAACATCCTTGTTGATTTTCGCCTGAGATAAAAACAGGCCAGCTCGTTCATTGGGTTTCATGCATTTCCTCCAACCGAGCATATTCATTTTGCCACCAAGACATGCCGAGTTGAAGTTGGAAACTGGATTCACGTATTTCTTGTGGGAATGGAAGAAGCCAGCTAGGAAATCGAGATCTTCTCTTTGGTCGGGTGTCATCTTGGAGAAAGGTGTAAACTGAAATATTCCGACTAGTCGATTCTGATTATATTCATCAAATATCATCACGTGACTATCGGGACGGTTGAAGATACGGAAACCAGGGGCTTTAATGAAGTTGGCTGCCTGCAGGATCGAGGCTGGAGTGAGATATTTCTTCTTTTTGCGTTGTCTGTACTCATCGTAGAGGGATACCGGAGAAGGTCTTGCAGTGAACTGATATAGCCCCTTCTTGATCTCAGTGGAGGCTTCGTTCCCACTGGCTTTTCGAGTTTTTTGACGCCATCGCTTCTTACAACCTTCTTTTCTCTTCTTATTCTTAAGCATCACTCGAACCTGTTTGGCTGTGGGGGGCCTGCATTGATAGATAGAAAAAAATTATGAGTATCATGTGTACATAGGATTTAGAAGACATATGAAGGATTTAGAAGACATATGGATGCATTTCGGGGGCTTGCTAGATCTATTGGCCATTCATTCACCACATCAAAGCAAGCCCCTATGCACCCATTTTATAAGTTAATACTGAAGGTATATTGACAGATCTATTGGCCATTCATTCACCATATCTAGCCAATACCCCCTCCCTCAATGTTTTAACAATTAATTGAAAGTTTGATTAAAAAGAAATTCCAGCGCACCCAGTTTTGTAATCCTTATTATGTATCAACAACCCCCGCGCCTGCCGAGGAATCATTTTAGATTTGATATTCATTGTATATCTAGGAACTTGATCGACAAGAGAATAAAGGAAGATTGATAATAATCAATGAGCTGCCTTCTGGGGATCAAACTGGATCATTAGATTAGGGGATTGGGGAACAGACCCGACAGGGGAGCAGATCCTTTAGACAGTTTATCAATCAATCAGTTTTTTTATCAATCAATATGTGGATTTATCTATCAATTAGAGGGTTAAATGATTGATCAGTGCATTTATCAATCAATCGGTGCCCTTATCAGATGAATAGAGAGTTTAACAACCAACCAGAGTATCTATCAATGGATAGGAGCACTTATTGGTTGATTATACTGTTTAGCAATCAATTATAGCCTTGATCAATCGGAGTTCAGATCGATCAATTACAACGGTTACAAATTGAACAGAGGGCTTACGGGTTGATCGGAGCGTTTGTTGATTGATCGGAGTGTTTCTTGAACGATTGGAGTATTTCTTGATATATTAGACTGGTTATCAATCGGTAGGTGCGTTTCTTGATTGATTAGACAGTTACCAAGCGATTGGAGCAGTTATCGATTGACCAGGGCAGTTATCAATCAAACAAAGCATTCAGCGAATGATCGAAGCAATTATCGATCGATTGAAGTGATGATCGATCAATCAAAGCGGTTATCGATTGATTAAAGCGTTTATTGATCGATTATAGCATTTATCGATCGATTCAAGTGTTTATCGATCGATTAAAGCGTTTATCGATTGGTTATAGCGTTTATCAATCGATTATAGCGTTTATCAATCGATTCAAGTGATTATCGATCGATTAAAGCGTTTATCGATCAATTCAAGTGATTATCGATTGATTAAGGCGGTTACCAATTGTTTAAAGCAGTTATTGATCAATTAAAGCGATTATTGATCGATTCAAGTGGTTATTGATCAATTCAGGCAGTTATCAATTGATTGAAGCAGTTACTGATCGAGTACAGTGGGTGATGATTGATCGATGAGAGTGTTTAAGGATTGATGAGAGTGTTTCTTATTTGATTAGACCTTGTATCCATTGATTGGGGTGTTATATTATTGATTGATTAGAGAATCAAAGGAGCAATTAGACCAGGGATCAGTGATTATCACTTGATTAGCTTGGTTGATGAGTTATTATCAGATCGTTTAGGAAAAAACAAGAGAGGTCAACGATTTAAGAACTTACAAGAGACCTTAACCCTTTAGAAACAAACAAGTCAAGGCTGTGTAATGTTGATCAATGGATTCGACAGTCTAGCAATCTTTGAGTAAGCAATTTGGAAGATTCTGAACGGTTTGTAGCTGTGTATTCTTGATCATTTGATATGACAGCACAGGGCAGTTGGGGGAACTGAAGGGTCAGTAATGTTAGAAGCTCCAATCAGATGGACAAGTAAGGTGAAAGCAAGGACCTCAGAGTGTTCGGAAAATAACTTACCTGTGTGATCTTGAGTGCTTGGTCACCTGAATAAAGAGGAGAAGAGTATGGAGGTGGCTGAGCTACATCTCAACCGAAGCATCTCATATCAGAGGTTTCACATGAGATGTCACAGAAACATGAAGGTATTCCACTTAGATCATAATGATTGCCACAAAGAGATGACCGATGGCATTCAATAATAAAAAGAACCCAAGGTATGTTGTATTTATTATAATGAAAAACCATCATCCACCACCCACAAATATCCAGAAGTTTGAAGAGATCAATTCACACAAGCAGGCAAGTCTGTTGAGCACGGAAAGAATAATCAACACTACAATTAAATGAGCTAAGTTTCTAGACAGCGGGCCGCTATTGAAAGAGAGGGGTCATTGGAGGGATCAGAAAGCCAAGCAGTATCATATGCTTGGATGGCTTTGTTCAAAACTGTAAAAACCTCCCAAACATTGTGAACAGTTACAATCGGTATTGCTAGATCAAATGCAGCTTGAAGTTCAGCAATAATGTCGGAGAACCATTTTGGTGTGGTTCGAAGTAGTTCATCGCCTTCCGGGTAAAACTCCTTCTCTAATGCATCAGCAGCCTCACTGGGCACTTTAATAAGTCCCTGTTCCCCTCCTTGCTCTTCGGGGTAGTTGAAGCACCAGTCGGCACTGCAGCGCGTGGGCAGGCTACTCTTTTTGTCCAGGCGCCGTTTGTATGTGTTGTAATTATTCGTCCAATCGTCCAGGCTTCTTTGAACAAGTGGGACCCACAGATAGATAAATAATAGTCTGAAAAGTAGCAGAAAACATCAGAATTTTCCATGTCTATTTCCAAGAGGCTCTGATGTAGATGTTTTACTCACTGCTCGAGAGGGTCTTGGGGGTCATAAAAACTTTCTTCGATGGCCGTAAAGAGTTTGTTGATCAGCTCACTGTTGTACTGTTTCATAAGCTGGGACCACAGGCACTCGATTTTCTGGTTATGTGTGCTTTTGGTGAAGAGATGGGATTGAGTTGGGTCGATAGATTCTTCGTTGTATTGCTGAGTGAGGTTGATCTGATGGCCGGCCAGGTGAATTGTCTCAGTCCCTTTATCAGTAGATGTACGCCGCGGAATTCCTCCTGTTTCTTTGACCAGCTGAAGATAGTAATAACCAATGTGGCGGGGATCGTTGTTGGTGATGTGGACATAAATACCCAGTATCTTGCGGCTCCAGGCATCGATGAACCCATATAAAGTAATTCCAAATTTTTTCAACTTGTCGTGACCATCTGCTGACCATATGTAGTTGGGCCCTGGTGTTTTGAAGACCCTTCGCTTGAGTACCCTCTTGGCTCAATTTTCCACGCCATCAGGGTCCAGTGTACGGTTGATGAGTGCAACTGTGATGCTAAGGTGTGGAAAATTGAGAAATCAATGAAGAAATGAATGAATTGGTATTACTTGAGGATTATTCAGAGAGTTTGGAAACTGACTAGTGGAGGGTGATGCCAAACTTTGTCTGGAGGAGCTGTCGCATACGTCGGTAGCCAACATTCCTTCCCTCTGGAGTCAGGTGGAGATGCATTACACATGATACAACGGCCTCGATGGTCACTCGTGCGGTATCCAAGTCGTCCAACCTCCTTGAGAGCTGCATCGCCGTAATCTTCCTCTGGAGGGTACGCTTGGAGTGAGTATAGTTGTGAGAAGTAGTTAGTGCATGATGGATTTGCGAGTAGGTCAAGCCTTGGTCGAAATACTTCTTGATGTGCTCTTCAGTGTTGGCCATTTGCTGAGAGGCATGCAGGATCAAGCCCCAGTCTTCTTTGCGTCGGGTTAGTGTGTGTTGGGAAACAATGATCGAGTGATTTTCCTGGAGGAATTGTCTGATTTCGTTATCATTATGGCCAGCATTAATTAATTCGCTAACAATGCTTTGGAACTCGTGGCCGAAATTTTGAAGAGTGATACGCATAGTGTTGGAGAGGTACAATAGGCTGATTGGATGTAGTGTTACTGGGATGGTTATTTCGTTGGTTGTATGGTATTGGTGTGGGTGGATAGCTTTACAACACGTAACTATGTATGGTATGGGTGTGGGGGGGGGTTGGATGAAACATAGTGGAGTATTGCTGGTGGGCATGTATATTACCTGTATCTCACTGTATTGGCCAAGTTGGCTCCTGTATGCTGCATGAAAATTAAAATTTCAAAATGGATTATTTGTGGCCAAAATGGCACGCTCATGCCTCCATAGTATACTCATACATATGTATGAACCAGATCAAAAACAATTGGAGCTGGCTCACATTGATTTGCTTCATCATGAGGGCTTTTGACTTGTTTGTACAGTATTTAAACCGACAAATTCAATTAGCTGTTATATAACTTCTTGGTGTCACTTGTTTATATCCATGTGACGGTATGTCCCAACCATTCCTCTCAATAACTTGGGCCTCGTTTGGCCGTCCATGATCGTCATAAACGATCATGGCGAATATATCGGGGGTGCACAGCTGAAGACGGGGCCTCACGATGGTGTTTGGGAGGCCACGTCATATCCACTTTTTTTATTACGGAAGTGGTCAGCGAAATATATTCCCTGCCAATTCCAACATTTTGGGTCCCCCCAAAATTTTGCGTCATAAGTCCTCACAGCGAGGTTGATGAGGATTTTCAGGCTGCGTCATTTGCACAGCCTGGAATCATCAAACCTAGATTTTGATTTAACGATTGGAGACGACGGCCTATTACGATCGTGGACGGCCAAACGAGGCCTTGATGATCAGCTGTTGGAGTGAGTGGCAATAGAAAGACTCGGATGTGAATGCCTCTAGACAATAGCCTCATTAATCCGTCGTTACTTGTTTGGTTTCCTGAACCAGATTAGTCCTGAACCAGATTAGGATGAATATCAGAGCGAACATACAAGCAGTACGGTTTGCAGTCCTCAAAAATATCATTGCGAAGCCAAGATCAGGAGCTCGACTAGTATCTCTCTCTCCATAGGAACGAGAAAAGAGCTCCACCCCCCTCTATAGGGCTCTGCTCTCCAAGACCGACTGTTTGCGGTTCGAATTGTATAGATCAGAGGTGGATCTCTTCTTCCCTCCAGGTTCGATCGGTCGCGCATTCAATTTCAAGCTGAGACGTTCATGAAGGTGTTTGAATAAAAAAAAAAGCTTTATAACACTTTAATAAAAACCAATTATCCTGTCATTTGGAAACTGATCATGGATATGAGCCATCAGCCCGTCTCTAGGTACTGGGATCGAGTATATACCCTTCGGCGGCTGGTACATACCGTGGGCAACAAGCTCGGCTAATCTCGGGCGCTTTTTTTACACACCGAGTCCCCAAAGTTCTTGCAACTTGTATGGAAAGACCACGGATCCTAGAATCCTTGGGCGCAGCCCCCCGAGTCTTATGATAACATGGAGCTGGATGTGTATAATTTGGCATACAAACAAACATACCCGACCCTTGACCATTTGCCAAGCAGCCTGCAAATTCTTCAAGATCACTTCACTGTCTTCCAATCCCACTTCATCATCTCACTTCCTTGGTACTACATAATTCTTCTTTTCTCCTATGCCTACAACCTATGTAGCCTCGATCTGAGGACCAAGTTGTTCTTCAAACCCTCAGAGCTCAAAACTTGTCCCGTCAGTTAGAAGTTTGCAATATTAGTGTTGAGGGCCGAGGCTATACAGGGGATTATTGGCTTTCTTTTTGCCTGGGGATCCACTCTCGCCTGGTCGATGTCCGGCATGTGTTTTTGGGACAGCGGTCGAGGGATCATAAATAGACTGCCGGGATTAATCTCGTCTGCTTCCTCAGTTTTAACTCATCATCCCGCCAGGACTACAAGCAAGTTATAAATTCCTTGAGCTCAACTGAGACCATAAAATGATTATCGGCAAGAGTTTGTTAGTATGCATTGCTCTGCAGACGCTAGAGGTCACTCGACTGGTACTATCTGCTCCTATGCAGGACTCAAGTGCGATACTTCCTTTTTTTTTCATCACTATTGAGAATTTTCCGAGCTGCTTGACTCATTCATTCATTTTTTTTTTTTTTTAATATCTCTGCATTTGCGATTTCTTTCTACCATATAGCAACTTTGAAAGCTATAAGCCGTGGACACTCTGACGGTCTTGAGAGTCAGATCGGAGAGGGTAGCCGGGTCGGTCGGTTTAGTCCAGATGAACATGGAATTCCGAAGGACGAGGGTATGTTATAATCAAACTCGAGAAATCTGCATTTCCCCTGCTGACTCTATGATCCTAATTATGCTTTGCCATTACTGTATTCAGCAACTAGTAGCAACGTCCCAGGACCAAAGAGCAAAGGGAGAGTGGAAGAATACAGGCAAGAATCCATGCAGCCGGGAATCAGGAAGGGCTCGAATGAACCTGATGATGAGCTCCAGAATGCTCAGAATGAACACGATCGTAGTGAGTATCGGAAAGCAACAAAAATCATCAACCGGTTTTCTCAACTTCGAGATAAGTTGAACGTCCCACAGCCCGAACGCCCTCGCAATTCAAACTATCACTATGAATACTTCCTCATCTTGAAGCAGCATAGAGCCTGGAGCGAGAAGATCAAACTGGATCGAATCGAGATCACCCACCCGGACGACGTTCAGGAAGCTAACAAAACCATATACAAATTGATGGCGGAAATTCAGAGTACTTTAAACATCCTCCCAGTCCCGCTTCCTATCCTTCTACAGAAGATCGAACAATTTAAAATAAATTAATCATCATCTCGACTCTTTATCAATAATCCTTCATAGATCAGCTAGCATGTATTCTTGTTGACCAATTTCCTCATCAGTTGGCTTTCGCTTGGGTTCCTTGATCTTGTTATGTTTTGGGTGTTTTGGATATTCTTGATTCTCTTTCTAGAGTACTACTATGAGAGGTCATCAGTCTCTTTCTTTCTTGTTGAAATTTAACCACAATGTAGATTGTCCTAGCTAGATATTTAGTTGCAGTGAAATTCAAAGTTCATCTCTGCGCCTTTTGCATTCAAAGCATCCTTCCCTTGATTTTATCTTTCATAGTGGGTCTTCATTCCTCTTTGCCTGAATCAACAGGTTGCTGATACTTATAAGGCAGATATAAACAACTAGTATTTGCCCCCAATTTTGGGAAGTTTGACTTGGTGACCGTGTTTTTTCGCCAAATGTTGGTGGGTTTATAGAGTACTCATTATTATGACCTTTTGCCCCTTTTGGGGGTGTTTAAAGACGGCATCAAGTACTGGTTTTAACGTACTTGCTACTTGTTGGCTTCCAACAAGTACTTGCCTACAGGCAACACTGAAAAGACAATACCCAGAATTTATTTGTATTGTCTCAGAATTTGAATTTCCAAAACTACCAATACTTGTTCATCTCACTTTCCTGAGACAATACACACACATATTGTCTTTGGAAAGCAAGACAATTATTGTGTATTGTCTCAGAGGGCGGATCCCACCAAAAATGTCTTCATTACACAAGATATCTGGCTGTATCAATAAAAAAATACTTTTTTTTTTTGCTTGGAAAAGACAAATCCAAGACGATGGATTTTCACACCAACCAAGGAAATACTGATACCAGGTATCAGTCTCAAAATAAAGACAATACAAGAAATACCACATACACGTCTTATCTCAGTTTCAGCATTGCTACAGGTGCCAGGTGTGGGTGCAGTTGCCATGATTTTGGCTTGAAAAATAGGCAAGTACTTGCCGTACACCCGCCCTTCTCAGAGGCGCAGATGCATATCTACATATGTACAGTGGGTGGACTGTTATTTTTGGCTGCTTGTTTTGGACCCCAGAGCTCTGAAAAACAGACTTGAAGTTATGAGACTTGTTCAGGTGGTGCATAATAGGTCCCAGCAAATGAATATGAAAAAATAAAAACAAAAAGTAAAGTTTCAAAATTTGTGAAAAATAAGAAATAAAACTGATTTTTTTCAAAAGCTTTGATATTCATTTTGGGGGAATGGGAGTGCTGAGAGAAAGAAAGAGGGGAACATGGGAAGAATGATTATTAAATGGAAAGATTGGATCCAAAAACGGTTATGCCAGGTTGGTGATCCAGGATTGCAGCCAAATCAGTAATACTCGGGCTTTCCTGCAATGTAGTCTCGTGAATGCCCCCAATCAACAGCTCTTTGAAGCCATCTGGAAAGCAATTTTTCAAAAATTTTCACTTCATAATCATTCTTCTAATATCACAATCTTCCTTTCTCTCAGCACTCTCACTCCCCCAAAATGAATTTCAAAGCTTTTGAGAAAAACAAATTTTATTTTTCATTTTTCACAAATTTTGAAACTTTGTTTTTTGTTTTTATTATTTCATATTCATTTTTTGGAACCTATTCTGCACCATTTGACCAATTCCCATGACTTCAATCTGGTGCCTTGAAGCTCTGGGATCCAAAACAAGCAGCCAAAAATAACAGTCCACCCACTGTACATTCCATACTCCATATTCCAAGCCAGACATCCAAATATCACTTGCAAAGGGGAATCCTGAGTGGATTCACAAGACAATTGGACTTGCCTGCAAGATGTGGGAAGCTTTCTACAAACTTCTTCCTCATCCCAGCCATCCAATCCTAGGTGTTCCCAGGTAGGTTTTTGTTCAGAGTCATTTGATTTTTCTTGGGTATTCAAGCTAACATGAAACATTCCAGCAACACTGAAGCCAAGAAAATACATTTATCTGTTTCTGTTTTTATCCCAATACATTGCATCTTTATTGCATTGGAAAAATTGGAAAACCAATACTATACAAATATATTGTATCTGGTTGCCAATACAGCCCAATACAATACTGTATTTTTTTTCTATTGGGCAGTTGGGGTGTTGAATACAGTCCATATTGGCCAACAAATGTGTAGTAGTTTTTTGATGAAATACATTTTTATTGTATCTGATTTCAGATACAATACCCAATACCATTTTTTGAGTATCTGAAGAAAATATACAATACATCGTATTTCCCAATACATGTATCAACGGTGGGCCAGTTACACTAACTGTAGTGTTAGCTGACTTGGAAAAGGTCCAACTAAAACTAACCAAAAACCTTGTTAGCACAATTGTAGTGGTGTTAGTTGTTGAAACCACTACACTACAGACCAGTGTAGCTTTTTGATGAGTTACACTAACAGCTAGTGTAGTGGTTCCCTCAGTTACACTAACAGTTAGTGTAACTGATCAAAAATTTACACTAACTGTTAGTGTAACTGACTATGCAGTTACATGAACACATGACTAGCATTAGTCTACCCTGAAGACAGTGCCTGATTGGGGGGCCTACATCCAAATCCCCTCAATTGATCATCATTTTTTTTTTCAGTTGGTAATGGGAGCCACTCAATTTTAGCCCCCGGTGTAACCATGATGTATCACCAGAGTGTAGTGGAGCTGTTGGCATGAACCATGGCGACTACCACCCAACTAGCCTTACAACCACAAGGGTCTGTAGCCTAGTTGGTAAAGGAAGCACCATGTTATGTGACTCAGCATTGCTGAGGTTGTGAGTTCAAATCTCACTAGGCACATCCTCTGTTTGTTTGTCTCTACATCTTGTGCTGTTTATTTTCTGCGGGATTGTGTGTGATCATAGGACATTGAAAATTGTCACTATGGACCTCAGCCGTATCAGTTATATGGACAGTTCACACAACATGTCCATTGAAAACAGAAAGCAGAGGAAGAGGGTTCAAGAGCATGCCAGGCTGCAAGAGCATAAATTCTCACTTGACATGTCAATTTCTCTAATTGATCATTTACACTACACTAAATGGGTAGTGTAACTTCTACCGTAGCTTAGTGTAACTAGGCATGTAGTGTAGTGTAGTGTAGCTTAATTTGGTATAAGTTACACTAAATTTTAGCTTCAAATCAGTTACACTATCTGACGGTCAAAATTTTGTTAGCGCAAAAAAAGTTACACTAACTGTTAGTTTAGCTGAGATTATTTGAAGCTAACACTACCAAAAAAATTTGAGAGAAAAATTTACACTACACTAACATTTAGCGTAGTGGGGTTTAGAGCCAGCTAACACTACAGAATTTCCAGGGAAAAAAAGGCCACTACACTAACAGTTAGTGGTCAAATAGCGTAGTGTAGCACAGCGGCCCGGTGTTGATCATGTATTGTATTTTATTTCTTTCACTGTCAATTCCGGCCTGAAACAGGAGTACTTGCAGGTTTTCTTGGAGATTCTGAATCCCAAGGATCAAACAGCCCCACTGATCCAATCACAATGTGGCTTTCTAGAGGCTTGGTGCTGACTGAAGATGAATGGCCGGTCAATCCCCTCAAGTGGTGGAGGCAACAACAATGTGCTGAAAATACTCATGGAGGGCTGTTTTAGATGTCCTTTGATGTGCTTAGTTGTCCAGTTGCACTTTTTTTATGTAAATTATCATGCTGGTTGATTTTTTTATTAACCTGCCCACACGTTCTACAGAAACCACTTTTGACTTGTAGTGATCCTTTAGCTTTGGAAGGAACTATGTTTCTCTCAGGAGTCACAGGCTCAGTGCAAAGTCTGTCACTAGGGGGATGAGTGTAGCATTTTACTCAAAAAATGGTAAGATCAACAGTGAAACCAATCCAATCCAATGAGGTATTGGCTGATTTATTGAATTGGATTGATTTTTTGATACCAGGTATCAAAAAATAAGGGATTGGATCACCCTAGCAATCCGATCCCGGGGTATCGGATTGAAATGGTATCAGATTGAGATAAGGATTGCATTGCAATCCCAATCCAACACCTAAAAGCTGTGGGCCGTGTGCCTCACGTTTTGGTATCATCCAAAGTGTAACCTATCCAATCCCTGGATTGGTATTTATCAAGGATCAGATCAAAAATGGACCCAATACTGGGTATCAGTATTGGATTGCTCCACCCAATCCCAGTTGTCCAATAAATTGGGATTGGATTGGAGATTGATCTGATACCAATAGGAGGTGTTGGGTCCATTTTTGATCCAATCCAGGGATTGGATCAGTTCCATTGTTGATAAGATCAAGAGGGGGTTTTTTAGAAATTGGAAGGAAAATAATAAGAACAAGAATAAATCAGCAAGGGGGGAATCTGCAAGAAAATGAAATAAAAGGGGGGGGGCATAAGATTTACTATTTCTCTTTATACTTATTATCAAATGTCTGAAATGAAAACTACAATAAGATTTGTGACCTACTTTGTCTCAAAATAAACTTGAACGTGCATAATTAATTGCCATCAGTACCAAAGTACTTGCCACAAGTATACAAGTACTTGCCACAAGTACACAAGTACTTGCCACAAGTACACAAGTACTTGCCACAAGTACAAACCACTACAAGAAAAAGTCAAGCAACTGTTAGCAGTTGAAATGCAGCAAGATTCAATCAAACCTCAATGCAAGCTGAGGTCATTGTGCTGATGTAATTTGGTGGTACAACCCTGAGACTTTAAAGGGGTGGACCACAACAAGGTACAACAAAAGTGTGAGTTCAACTCAAGCTCAGTGCAGAGTATGGTCTGGGCTCTTGCATGTCAACTGACACCAGTTGCTTGACTTGTTCTTGTAAGTGCAAGTACTTTCCACAAGTACACAAGTACTTGACACAAGTGCACAAGTACTTGCCACAAGTGCACAAGTACTTGCCACAAGTGCACAAGTACTTGCCACAAGTGCACAAGTACTTGCCACAAGTGCACAAGTACTTGCATCCTCCTGCCCCTGCAGGTGTGGGTGTGGGTGTGGGTGTAGAATTTCTGGAAAGTACTTGTACTTGTTGCAGGTGCACAGGTGTGAGGGGCCATCTTTAGGGGTGTTGCTTGATTTGGGCACCTGTTTTGGTCTAACTGAAGCCCAGACAACCAAAAAACCTTGAATTTCCACACTTCCAGTGTAAATTTGTTTTGATCTCTTTGGATATCATAATTTACTTTGGGGGAGACAAGAGCGCCTAGCGGATGTGGCCTAAGTCCAAGATCACGAGCGCCTGGAGCTATGACCCAGGCTGAGAGGTCAGGGCAGGCCCGCCAAAGCACGGCCACAGGTTCACACCTGGGAGAGGAGTTTATCATCCCTCCTCTCTCTGACACTCTCAGCCACACAGCGGCCGATACTCTCTCCCTCACCTCTCTCCAGCTACCCCGTCGCGTCACGCGCCTACCTTTTTTCAGTATTAGACATCTCAATTAAAATTATCAAAACGAATCAGACTTCAGACTCGGAATCGAGAACCAGACTTATAATCAACCAACCAACTCAAACCAATCGCCAACGAAGATGACTGAGGATATAGGAGCACGAACGACGAGGAAAGCAAAGAAGCAAGGCACGAAAGAGATCGACACTCAACCCTCGGCGACTCAATCAACGCTAACCGGCACTGGCGAAGAAGCAAACGACCCACAAAGCGGAGCAGAGCACTTAAGTAGTTAGTGACTCCAGCTACCTATTTCCCAATAAATCCCTATTTAGCAATGTCCAGAAACCAAGTAGCGGTTATCTGACGACCATATGTCTTATTCCCTTAGACCGTACTCAACCCATCATTGACCTCTCCCAAGTCGAAGGGAGAGAAGAATCAGATGACGCATCAAAAGATGTCGAGAAAGAGGTGGATCGAGAGGACAACACCATCGAAGGCCAACTGACGAAGGGCAGGGAACTTCCAGAAACGCTGTCAGCCTACCGCAATCTCCTCTCGTCGTCGGAAGAACCAGGTCCGTTGCTAGTAGTCAACAAAGCACCAGCAGACACCGACGCACCCGCAACCACATCCAGACCTTCTACTTTGTCAGACAAAGAGTTATTATGGAATCGGATTTGCGAAGCCAAAGCAGCTAACGACGAGACAAATGCAGAATTTTTGCTCAGAATCTATCTAGCATTACCCAAAGAAGAGTCAACGGGCAACCCTAATCTCACCGTACCTACGGTCCATCGCTCTAACTCGGCAGCAGCTGCTTTACCTACGCAAAAGCAAAACTCAGAAAAAACCCTTAAATTTATCAGAGGCTCTGTACCGAACCATTTCGACATCGGTTTCACACCATTCTTCGACAAAAACATTAGGGAATTTAGAGGCCCTTTACCCCTTACCATTTTCGATAAAGAGTGGCAAGAAGAAGCCGTATCATTCCACTCGGGGAAGAGATCGAAGACAGACGAAAAAGATGGAGTGTACACTGGCTATGAGTACCCAAATGAATGGACTCAATCCTTCAGCGCGTGGACCAACAACTTCCGCAGCTTCTTAATCACCTATAGAGACATTTACAAAATAACCGAATTTGCAGACTGGATCGTCGAACACAAATCCAATGTCGATGAGATCATTGCAGCAGACGGCTTCTTAACCGGATTCCGCTACGATATGATAGTCAGAGCGAACGCTTTCGCGTATAGGGTAGAAACCGACAGAGGGGCTTCAGTAGTTGACATCTCGGTCATGAGGAAAGAAGTACGTGAGAAAGCTTGGGCGACCACTAGAAAATTAGAAGAACTTGATTTCACAGACAACCCTTATGCTCAAGGAGGTGTCAAATTCGGCTTCGATCCAAAAACGGGACGGCCAAAGTTGTCTAAAGGGCACAAATCAACTTCAGATGTCAACTCCTTTGGACCACCGAGCTCGCACGAAAGAGGTGGCTATAGAGGGGGCGCATCTAGAGGTAGGGGAGGCTATAGAGGCAGAAACCTCGGTCCAAACGACTACAACGATCAGTACTTCGAAGACCGGCGCGATGGTCGCCAATCCTTCAGCCAATCTTTCGGCAATGAAGAAAACAGAACATGGGGATCCAGACGGTCAGAAAGTCAACATAACAACAGATTCTCCAGCAACCCATATAATCAACAAGAAGAGAGATCCAGAGGCAACATGGGTAGCCAACGAGCGGCTGTTTCGCGTAATCAATCAAGCAAAAAAGACTCCAAAGATGGGAAAGAGTTGTAGGCATCTTATACACTACTTTTGTTTAAAAACTTCCCGCTTGGAAAACCATTCCACTTTGTTCCACACTAAACGACTCTGAATTGTTATACTTGTTGGCGTATTTCATTTCTGACTAAAATTTATGTTTTTATGTCCATCGATTTTTTGTTCTGCTTTTCGCTTCCAAATTGTTGACCCATGAAGAAATTTAGACAAGATAAAATTTCCAGAAGGGGTAACCTGCGAGATGAATGTAGATAAGTGGCGCGAGGCGCTATCAGTAAACAACCTTCTCCCGCAGTATAGCGACGTGATTGATGGCTTCACGCATGGGTTTGACCAAGGAATCCCACAACATGCAATTGACGGGAAACCATGGTTCACCCCAGAAAATCACAAATCTTCCCTCTTAGTAAGAGATAAAATTGAAGAGTCAATTGCAAAAGAGATAGCAGCCAAAAGAATGATGGGGCCATTTTCACATCAGCTAATGAAAGCCACATTTGGCTTCTTCAGGTCAAATCCTTTAGGCGCAGTTGTAAACGGCGACGGTCAGATCAGACCAATAAATGATTTGTCATTCCCTCGAAATGATCCGGAAATCAAATCGGTCAATTCCTACGTCAATAAACTTGATTTCGAGACAACCTGGGATGACTTTAAGACGGTATCAAAATTCTTAGCGGAAGATAAACGACAATTCGAATTAGCTTTGTTCGACTGGGAGAAAGCGTACCAACAAATACCAACGAGGCAAGATCAATGGAAATACTTACTTGTACAAGATTTCAATGGAAACCTCTTGATCAACACAAGGATTACCTTCGGCGGAGTCGCTGGTTGTGGGTCTTTCGGCAGACCAGCAGACGCGTGGAAGCTTATAATGAAAAATCATTTTGACTTGGTCAACATCTTTCGATGGGTTGATGACAATCTGTTTATTAAAGAAGTAGAAGGGTTCTTATCGATGAAAGACGTGGTGGTGAAGTCGACAGAGTTAGGAGTCATGACTAACATCAAGAAATTCTCAGAATTTGCGGAAGAACAGAAATTCATAGGTTTCGTGTGGAACGGGAAAAATAAGACTGTCAGGCTACCAGAGGGCAAGATCGAACAAAGACTGAACCAGATACATCCATTCCAAGTCGAGAAAGCCATGTTCGACTATGAAGAGGCAGAAATTCTAGTAGGGCGACTCAATCACGTATCGTACATTCTCCCACACCTACGATGTAACCTGTGCTCATTATATCAGTGGCTGAAATCGTGGATATGGAGGAAAGCGAAGAGACCAACGCCCACCAATGTCCTTGAGGATCTCCGGGTGTGGGTCGACACACTAAATAATTTCGAACATATGCGCTTGATTAACTGGGGCCCTCCTCTGGACGTTGGCTGAGTGGGCGACGCCTCCACTTCCTTTGGAATTGGAATCTTAATCGGAAAACACTGGGCTCAATTTAAACTTATTGACCCACATTCCAACTCAAGACGCATCTCGTTGTTGGAAACGGTAGCGATAAGACTCGGCCTGCTAATGCTACTGAAATTGCGTGATCAGAAAGGCAAATCGCTCATTGTTTGGACGGACAATACAACGACAGAGAATAGCATCAACAACATGAAGACAAAAGACAAGGAGGCAAACGACGAGTGGAAGAGGATACAAGAGATCCTGTTGAGAGAGTCAGTCAACCTGATAGCGAGAAGGGTCAAATCGAAGGACAACAAGGCAGACGCCTTGTCGCGAGGGCTACGATCCGGTCAGCCTGTAAAGTATCAAGTAGTGATACCACTCCCACCTGACCTGCAGGGTCTGTTGTCTCAAGTGGTATTCATAATATAAATAACCGCTATTGGCCTTGTTGTTTTCTCCACACATCTCAACTCTCTCTAGATTTATTTTGTCTTATTCGATTACATCAGTAGACTATTGCGCACCTAACAAAATGCAGCCTTCTGCAAACGAATCTTTCTTCTTGTCCATTAGAGACTTTACTTCGCAAGGACACTTGATGAAATTCCCTAGCAAACTGGACCAGCACGTTTTGAACGGCTGGTCGAGGTCGACCCTCAAGAGCTATAACTCCGGTGTAAGGAAGTTCTTGCTCTTCAAGAAAACGGTCGGACAGGAACGTTTTCTTTTACCGGCAACAGAAGACGACATCTACAACTTTTGTTTCTGGGCGGGTAAGAAAGACATCGACAACGGGCAAAGCGGAGTGCTCTCTGTCACCCTCAAGAAATACCTTCAAGGACTAAAAGCCTGGCATATATTCCACAACCGCCCCTACCCTACAATCTCCGAGAAGAAAGTCTCCCTGCTACTAAAATCTTCCCAAAAAATAGAGACGTTGTTGGCGAAAAAAGAGCCAAAGAAGCCGGTAATGATCAAACACCTCATCAGCTTAGTGGAAGACCTAGCAACATACGAGGGAGAGGACGCGGCAATCCTGGACTTGGCGTTAGTGGCCTTCTGGAGCCTCGCTCGCTTAGGCGAGCTAACCATAGACCCGTCCAACCCGAGACGGAAAATCATTCGAGAATACGTTACCATCCACCCGAATGGATCCTCAGCGACAATAGAGCTGAAGGAATCCAAGACGGCCCCACCTGGAGAGTCGCAATTCCTTCAGCTAAAAGGCATGGCTAACTCTCTTTGCCCGGTGAGAGCTCTTATCCGTCAAATGTCCGCTTGCAACCGTCACGACCACTTGTTCGGTTTTCGCAAGGACAACAAGCACGTCGCGTTAACTAAGTACTTGGTCAAGAGGCGACTCGCAATACTGTGGGACGCTCGTGGTTTCACAGGCCTTTCCGGCCACTCCTTTCGGGTCGGAGGCGCATCTTTTCAGAATGCCTTGGGTATTCCCCCAGCTCATATTTGTAAGATTGGCCGCTGGGCATCGGCGAGTTACAAATTGTATTTAAGAACATACTCAGAAGAAGACCTGTCGTTTTCTCTAAAACTATTGTCAAGACTTGATTTGCAATGGAGACTAGCTTGATTTAACAACACCTGCGTGAGGGTTGAACCCAGGACGAAGTTTGGGGTTTCGCGCCTAGGCTCAGGCTTCTATCCTGAGTTCTAGGGTCTGGCGCAATCCCCCACACTTCTCCTCTCTGCTTCAGGAAGAGATCCCCCTCTACCATTTAGGCCCCCCCTCACGGGTGCAAATGAGTTTGGAAGGCGGTCTCTCCCAAGACCCTCACGCGCCCCTCCTGAAAACCCTAAAGAGATTTAGGGGACCAGGAAGGGCTACGGGTGCAGCTGTCAGGACCTCAGCAGTCCCAGCTACACCCGGAACCCGTGCAGAGACGGAATCAGTGTAGATGGATTGGATTGGGGGAGACAAGAGCGCCTAGCGGATGTGGCCTAAGTCCAAGATCACGAGCGCCTGGAGCTATGACCCAGGCTGAGAGGTCAGGGCAGGCCCGCCAAAGCACGGCCACAGGTTCACACCTGGGAGAGGAGTTTATCATCCCTCCTCTCTCTGACACTCTCAGCCACACAGCGGCCGATACTCTCTCCCTCACCTCTCTCCAGCTACCCCGTCGCGTCACGCGCCTACCTTTTTTCAGTGCCTCCCTCCCACCCTGGGGTCTGGCGCAATCCCCCACACTTCTCCTCTCTGCTTCAGGAAGGTACTTGCATCCTCCTGCCCCTGCAGGTGTGGGTGTGGGTGTGGGTGTAGAATTTCTGGAAAGTACTTGTACTTGTTGCAGGTGCACAGGTGTGAGGGGCCATCTTTAGGGGTGTTGCTTGATTTGGGCACCTGTTTTGGTCTAACTGAAGCCCAGACAACCAAAAAACCTTGAATTTCCACACTTCCAGTGTAAATTTGTTTTGATCTCTTTGGATATCATAATTTACTCTGTGTAGTGTTGGGGTGGTATGTGTGCTGACCAGCAAATTCTATTGTGTTTTGCAGCTTTTTGCCTTCCTGCAAATTCAAGAGGTGGAAACTCCAAATCAAAGATTGTTTTTATTATTGTGAAATTTAAAATCAATTTCAAAACAGGTAATACAATTTTCTCAGAGGGGATTTTAAGTCCATCAGGAAGATGGTATTGGATCTTTCTCATGAGGATTTCAACAAAATTTATCATGACAACGATGAAACGAATGCAATGCGTGCATCGGCATCGCATCGTATCAAGCGTTTATCGCATCGCATCGGTGTGAGCGATGCGGGGCCCCGCATCGCATCGTCCGCATCGGAAAAACCGATGCGGAGAATCGGCATCGCATCGATTTCCCGATGCGATGCCCGATATTTTGCAGGCGATGCCGATATTATCGGCAGGCATCGCCTGAACCTTGGTTGTGACTCCGTTCCTGAAGTTGACTCCAGAGAGTCCAGTCCGCGAGTCACTCCCGACTCCGAGTCCAACTTCAAGTTCAAGCGCCACGTTCAACCCAAGTTGAACACGACATCGATTCGTTGGACTCGTCGCTCGGAGTTGGACTCGCCCCAAGTTGAACACGACATCAATTCGTTGGACTCGTCGCTCGGAGGCGGACTCGCCACCGGAATTGGCTTTGGACACTTGATAGGGATTAATTTAAATTAGACCGCTTGGAATCGATTCGTATGTACTCCCCTCGAATCCGATGGTCGTTGACTAGGGCGGTAGGGCGGTTATCAATCGGTGGACCACCAGCTAGCCTGACTCTAACCACCTTGTTCTTATTGTTGTTTGATTCCGAATCGCAGGTACCGATCCAATCGGAATCAAGCGAAAAGACTTTCTCCCTTCACCAGGACCGATATCGAGTCGTCAGCTCGTCCGAACACCCAAAAACACCAAACACCCAAAAAAACACCGAACACCCAAAAACACCAAACACCCAAAAACACCGAACACCCAAAAACACCGCTCCAGTGCACCTCCCCCCCAAGTTCAACTGGCCTTCACCACCATCACCAGCCTCCACCAGCTAACCCCCCCCCCAACAACTCTGTTTCAGATTCACACCCTCTCACAACTATACCATCACCAAGTCTCCTTCATATACACTTCCTCTCCCAACTATCACAGCTCAAGCTCAGCCTCCACCACTCACAAGCTCAGCTCCACCACACAACCATCACTCAATCTTCACTGAACCATCACACCACCTCCCCTCACACCCATCACACCCCACCCTCTCACCACCATCACACCTCCACCTATTCATTTTAATATTTTGTGAGTATTCTCTTTTTTGGTCTTCTACTCTCAATATGTGAGTTAACAGTGAGCTAATTTGTTTGTTTTTTTGGGTAAATTTGCTACACAGTCCATTTTTGAATGTGAGTCTTCTCTTTTATACTCTCAAAGGCCCCAAGGCATTTCTATTCTATTCTTTGCTTGTTTGCTTTATTTTAATTTTTTTTTCTTTCCAATTTGTGTGCATAGACAGGACATTGGCGTGCTGTCACCACTGGTGATCTAATTGGACGGCTCGTGATTTTCTTGGGCGGCTCGTGATTTTGTGGAAACACTCGCTTGTGATCTAATTGGACGGCTCGTAACGCTTGCTTTGCCACTTGGGTCACCTCTCAGACGAATAATTACCCCCCAAAGCCATCCCGTCCATCTGAATTTCGCCTCTTTCTCTTATCTTTCGATCGATCATGTCCACTTCTTCCGTTCCCCAGACCCCCTCCAGAGGACATTCTCGCGAGTCAACTAACCTCAACACTCCAGCCCGACATTCTACCCGCCTCAACACTCCAGCCCGACATTCTACCCGCATAACCACCCCTGTCCGGAATCCCAACTTTGTTCAAACTAGCGGTGACTTGCGAAAATCTGTTCCTCAGGCTCCAACTTCAGCCCATCGCCAAGGGGTGTCTGAATCTCAAGGGACGAGATCATCAAGACCACGTAGGAAGTCTCAGCCTTCAGCTGGATCCCAGCCTCAGAAGAGAAAACGTCGTCCGGAGGTGGACGACTCGCAAGCCGACTCTGACCAGCCTCAGACTATAATGGACATGACCCAAGACTCAGACGAGGAAAACTCAAGGGTTGTGAAAAGACGCAAGGCTTGGGGTCGCAAAGACGTGGATGCTGATGTCGACGCTGTGGAGGACTACTTTCATCCCCCGGTCTTTGCAGATGGTGAAGTAAGTGATTTTTGAATGTCGTGTTTTTTTCTCTTGCAACCAAGGGGCCACAACTGATTGCAACTCTTGGATGTTCAGGATTCCTCTGGCACCCCATTGCATTACGAGTGTCGTTGGTGTGGAGGTAGCTACAAGAAAGCTGAAGGATCACGAGGTAATCTAGTCTTACACCGCGATGGAAACAAGACTCGAAATCCGTGTCCAAAAAGAGGTGAAGCAATACTCGCCGGCGCCAAGCTACCCACGACTCAGATGGAGAAGAATCAAGGCGAATGCCACCAAGGAAGTAGCCCAAAGGTAATGATGACTCAGAAGTTCGACCAAAAAACTCTCAATCAGATCCTTGTGCTATGGCTCATCCGGCACTCTTTGCCGTGGTGCCGAATGGAGGATGAACTACTCGAGATCGCATTCAATTACGTCAAGCAAGGTATTAAACTGTTCAGCCGTGTGTGGGCAGCAATTGAGGCGCACAAGATTTATCTGAACTTACAGGCTACTGTGATATCAAGGCTCCAGGTATGATATCTCAATCTCCCGTATGATTATCTGTATCATTCTCTTTCCTCCTCTGAACCTCCATTTTTCCCCTATGGCTGACTATTCTTCTACTTTTGTTCAAGAATATTAAATCAAAAATAACCCTCATACACGACGTTTGGACTACTAAAGGCAACCGACATGCATTCATGGGAATGGCCGCGGCTTACGTGACGGACGATTGGGAGTTTGTCATCACCCATCTTGGATTGAAGTTCATTGCTTGGACTCACAAGGGTAAGAACTTAGCAATCCCCTTTTGTAATGTCATCATCAAGTCGGATCTTCAAGAAAAGATAAGTCTTTCCTCCATTTTTTTTTCTTCTGTGACCCCTTGTCTCTCAGCCAGTGATTTAACTTGGCTCTTTTATTTTTTCATTCACATCTTAGCCCAGACTACCGACTCCGGCTCAAACAATGGCACCATGGTAACAGAGGTCGACCGTATGATTGAAATCAAAACAGGAGTCAAGCTCAAGCTATCCGAGAACCACATCCGATGCTTCTGCCATAAGATTGGTCTGATCCTCACCGCTGGACTCAAGGCAATATCGATCGATACGGATGGCCTCACGAAGACTAAAGCATCTACCCTTGGCTTTGTCCCGGGATTGGAGCCTGTCCTTGAAGAACCCGAAGATCCAGTCCATCCCAATACCTTCGAGGAGCATGTGGTTTTTGGACCCAACCCCAAGGATAACGACGTCGATGATGAGGACAATGAAGTATCCCACGACAGCGAAAACAGCCAAACGCCATCGGCCCAACTGAGCTTCAATAAAGTCGACTTTGTCATTCAGAAGATCACCTCCTCAGCAGCTCGACGGTCGGAGTTTGACACTTGGGCAAAGAAGTTGGATTACGATGGACCATCGTTGATTGCAGGGTATGGCATCAGATGGAATATCAAATTTATCAGCCGAGACCGAGCTTACCAGGCGCGACAAGTCATCAACAAGCTGATTGATAATGAACGAGATCAACATGAAAAGGAAGGGAGCGACAATTGTTACGATGATACCGAGATTACTCGAGCAGACTGGGACAATGTCAAACGGCTCAACGATGTTCTCAGCGAGTTTTACTTCATAACTAAGAAGATGGAAGGTGATATCCCCTCGGCTGGGATGATACTTGCGGAATACAGATACATCAAAGCTCTGCTCAACAAGAAGATGACATTGACAACCAAAGCCGACTTTCACCCGATGTACACGAAGATGCTTGACCGAACCGACAAATATCTCTCAGAAGCCTTGAAATGTGACGCCATTTTGCTTGCCACGATTCTCAATCCCAGTTACCGCCTCTCGATATTCAACTTGTTCTTTCCCTCACACTTGACACGCGCTCGGAACTTGATTCAAGAAAAGTTCATCATTCAAAAGATTGAGTACGAAGCCAGCACCCCCCCACAGGTCAACACGCAAGCTGGAAAGCAATCAACCCACAACCCAGTTCGCGAATTTGACGACATCGAATTCTTCCCAGATCCGGTTGAAACGCCCCCAGAGGATGAGTTGACGGTTTACCTTGGGGGCAAATATAAGTGGCCCCACCCTCAGGCATCCAAGTGCTTACTCTGGTGGAAGGTAAGATCTTCTGTAATGTATTTATCTTAGCCCAATGGTTGGTCCTAACTGACATTGATATTATATCTTATCTTAGGAACATTCTCAAGAGTTCCCCATCTTGTCCCTTCTGGCAAGGGACTATCTGGCTTGCTGCTCCACCTCAGCATTGGTGGAGCGATGTTTTTTGGCAGCTGCGGACATATGTGGACCGGACCGAGGCCGCTTGGGCGTTCGAACCATTGAGCGGAGTGTCAGCTCTCATCAATGGCTTGTCCAAGGAATTAAACCCAATGGCGAGTTTGAACTTGTGCAAAAGGTAGTATCCCAGGCAATGGCTGAGAAAGCAAGGCGAAACAAGGACCAAACACCCAGATGATTATGTCTTTGGGAAATTTTTTAGGTATTCATCACTTGTTTTCCTCTATGTGTGAATTTTCTTAATTATTTCTAAAAAAAAACTTTTTGTTTCCATTTTTACTACTTTTAATTCTTTCTATTCATATGAAAGTTTAATTAAGATGCCAAATTCTTAATTATTTCTGCTTATTCTTATATTAATTTTTTTTGCCAGTCATAGCTCATTATACTATGATTATTTTATGTTGACCTCTTTTCCTTCCTCTTTTCCTATTGGCTCATAGTATGTGCCAATTTTTTCTTAATTTCCCATTATTTTTTTGTTAACATTTTCCCTATTTTTTCTAATTAATATGCTTAATTTTTCTTCATTTTCCTTTATTTTTTATATGTTTCCAATTTTTTTTTAATTAAGATGCTCAATTTCTCTTAATTTTCCAGTCTATTTTTTTTTACTTATTTCCATTCCATTTGCTTTTTTAATTAAGATGGCCATTTTTCATTGAGTTTCCAATTTTCCATTTACTTGTTCCCCTTTTTTTATTTACTTGTTTCCTATTTTTTTTATTTTGATGCTCAATTTTTTTCTTAATTTTCCATTTACTTGTTCCCCTTTTTTTTATTTACTTGTTTCCTATTTTTTTTATTTTGATGCTCATTTTTTTTCTTAATTTTCCATTTACTTGTTCCCCTTTTTTTATTTACTTGTTTCCTATTTTTTTTATTTTGATGCTCAATTTTTTTCTTAATTTTCCATTTACTTGTTCCCCTTTTTTTTATTTACTTGTTTCCTATTTTTTTTATTTTGATGCTCATTTTTTTTCTTAATTTTCCATTTACTTGTTCCGCTTTTTTAATTTACTTGTTTCCTATTTTTTTTATTTTGATGGTCATTTTTTTTCTTAATTTTCCATTAGTATTCTTTTTTTTTATTTTTTCCATCCTTCTTATTGTTAAAAATCATGCTCTTTTGACCCGATGCGTCCGATAC